CCAGCAGTACCTTCCCTCACTGGCCATTCCAGTTTGGATGGCATATCACATCCCCACTGTCACCTACTGAGTTTATTTGTGCAGCTGGGAACTCTGCAGTGGTTCAAGCTGTTAAAATCAGTATTAACACCTCCCAGAGCAACTGGGCCAGACCCTCCCTGTGTTCTGCATGCTCATTTCTCACTTCTGCACAAGTAACTGTGTTTATAATGAGCAGCTGCTGTTTTATGTCCTATTGAGCAGTTGGATAGGATAACTTCCATTTCTACAATAAGATCTGAATAGATCAGTTACCTTTCTTTTTGAACTAAAAAATGAATTGATTTTCTAGTGCTTCTATGCCATTTTCCCTGTCAAGTTTCAGACTGTTATTCTTGTGCATATTCCATGTGTAGTGTCCTTACCTCTGGGTATTTCTACTTATGCCCTCCCTTACCAGTGGCCAATGACAGTAAATTGACAGTAATGAATACAAACAGCTTTTATTATATTTTGGTTTTTTTATAATAAATGCAGGGGTGGTAGCAGCAGGAGTGCAACTTCCCTTGGTCACTCTGGAGAATAAACCAGCATTACTGTGACTGCTGTGTCCGGGCAGAAGATGAGATGACATGAAGAGACAGGCTGAAACCTCCTGGACACAGAAGAGCTTCCAGCAGCCCCCGCAGCCATGGGAAGGTACTGCCACACGTTCAGAGCTGGCTCGGAGCTGAAAGGAGTCCAGGACTGCAAGGACAGAAATTAAATTTTCCCATTCTCCCATGTGGAGCCAAGAAAGGCTTTCCATTCCTGGAAAGCAGAGCTGCAGTAACATCCTGTTCAAAGTCCTGAGTTTTGGGCAGCTGAAAAGTAGTGATAAGAGTATTTGCACTCCTTACACTCAGCAATTCAGCTCAAGTAGTAAACTCTGAAAAGCCTGTGCAGAACAACCCTTGAAATGCTTCCTTCAAAAAGGTGAGAGCAAAGTAGATCAAAACCTCATGCTCGAGACCTGTTGTGAAACTCACCTTTCTCTTTGCTGACACCTTGGGCACGTCAGGGACACCCCTGGCACATGAAACAGGCTCATAACCAAACACAGCCTGCCACCCTGGGAAGAAAATTATCATACCCAGGTACTGAGGCTTCCATGTGCAGGACTGAAAATGATCACTGTGCCTAGGACAGAGTCTGGAAGAATTAATCATATTTTAAACAGAAAAAATATTTCTGTCTTTACAAAGAGATTAATGCTTTATTGGTATTGAGGCTCTTCTCTATTATGCATATTTTCTTTCCAACCAGACTGAATTATTAAATATGTGCAAAATTACATTTAAGGGATGCATATTTTGCCAAGAACATCAAAGTGAGTGTTGCATTAGCACACGTGTTCAATGTTGTTAAACAGGACGTTAAAAATGTGTTCTAACCTGAACACATCCCATTCCCACAAATACTGCCTGAATCTCCTCAAAAGCAGTGAAGGGCACCTGTGTTTAAAAGAAGGGATAAGGGCACAGTTACTCCAGGTCCTTTGGATACACCAGTAAATCCTTCGACATTAAAGACAGAGACATATATATAAATACAAATCTGTATGTGTGTTTGTATATATGTGAATATTTCACTCACATTGTTCAACATTAAATATTAAATTTTTAAATCAACACCAGGAAATTTTGATTTTTCTGAAATGCTTTTGTTAAGGGACATGCAGAATTGTGCTGGCAATGTCTCCATGGCTAAAATCACAATGCAGGACACTCCCGTGTCAGAGACTGAAGCCTTTCAGCACAAACTGTTCAATTCCAGCACAGGAGGAGTTCAGCTTTAACCAAAGGCTTAAGAAGATGAAGTCAAGGTAAGATTTTCCCTCAGAGGGTAATGCAAACCATGCCCCCAGCACAGTCTGAATCCAGTCTGGGTCAGGAAGGAAGGAAGGATTTTCAGTCATTTCTTGTCAGGAGTTGACCACTCTCCGTAAAAGGCACTGCCCAAACAAGACTCTGGCTTTATTTCTCTCAATGCTATTCAGCATGACAGACTATGAGATGGAATTCAATCTAAATTTAAGCACTCTCTGTAAACTATTAATAGAAGAAAAACTGGTAGCATGAATCATCATGTGGGAGCTGCAGAGCAACAGCTAAAATATAACTTACCTTTACACAATAAATGAAGTGTTGGAGTTGAAAGGCCCAGCAGAAGTCACTTGACTCTTCTTCACTTGAACTATTATAATTTCATTGTGAGGAGCAATGAGAGGGCAACTCTTATTTAACTTGACAAAATACACATTGTGTATAAAACCCAGCTTTGTCACAACACAAATTGGAGACAAAAAGTAGCTGCTGACCCTGTTCCCCACCACTCCCTGCTAGGGAATAGCATCTGCTGGAAATGTTGGTGCAAAATGACACAACTTCAGAGCTTTATGGAGTTGAGCTCATGTTTTAGCACCCCATTTCAATGCCAGCTGGACCTCTGGCCAAGAGTAGAACGGCACCAAACCTTCCTTTTACGATTTGTCTCTGCCCAGACCCAAGTCCAGCTGTATTAATTTTGTGGGGGTGTTTTGCAGCTCCTGAATTGCAAAGCTGACAATGCAAAGCTGTGATTTTGCAGGGACAGCCCCGGCTGTGCCCTGGTGCAGCCCATGGACTCTGAGTGTGGCCCCACAGAGACACAGCCTGAACTCAACACGGTGGCATTCTGGTGCTCTGTGGGATATTTATTTTTGAAAAATATGATATTGTCAACAGCTCAGTGAAGTTGTCTCCAGACTGTTATGTCTCCTTCTCAAGTTTCTTTCATTTTTAAGAGCTTAACTTTTGGGCTTCTGGCGTGAGGAAAGAGCCTAAAATGGTTTAAGAAAAGGACATAAACAAGGGAGTGAGCTATGCACAGCACTGCAGAGAAACACAAATAGTGCCCCACACTATAGAATCAATGCAGATGGCTAAAAATGTGATGAGACCATCCCTGTGTCCAACCCTATTTTCAAAATGAGATTAAGAAGGTTCCAAAGAATGGAAAACCTTGAAGGATAAAAACCATTTAATAGAAATCGACATTGTATTTTTCAAATAGGGCATTTCATATACGGGAATTCAGTTCTACAAAAAGGGTTAAACAATGGTGACACAGAGAAAATAGCAGACAGATGCTAATAAAAACCTTAACCTGGATTAGAATTGGTGGCACCAGTCCCTCATCTGCTTCTTTAAAAATTTATAGACATTTTTTTTTTTTCTGAACAAAGACTTGCATGGGGGAAGTTTCAAATCAACTCTTGTAATAGAAATGAAACTAATAAAAATATTTAATTTGACATAAATGCTCTTCTAATCTTGAACAGAGACACTAATTAGCCAATTTGCCTATTCAAGGTGTTGGGCTGCAGGACCAAGCAGGAATTCATAGAAAAGGTACTGGAGCTTCCTCAGTGCCATCTCAACTTTCCGAGCAAATGCAAAGGAGAATTCACTCAACCTTAAATCCTGAGGATGGAAAAGAAAACCAGTTTGAGTTATGAGAACATCTGAACATGAAATGCTGGGCTCAAGGAGAGACAGAGCTGGAAAAACAACACAGGGAGCTGAGAGGGGCACAGAACTCAGCTCCCTTTTTGATCTTTTTTTAAGTTCTACCAGTAGCTGCTGGCTGTGAAGAGCTTCCCAGTTAAGAAGTTAAGAAAAGAGTTAAGTTTCAGTGCTAAGGGTCTCCTGTAAAATAATTCTGTGTGGCAATAATGCACATCTTCGTGAGCCTCTCTGATCTCTGCCCTTGGTAGGACTCTGTGACAGACACGATTTAATCCAAGTCTCTTCTGACAATCAAAGCAATTGTGAAACCCCTCAGCACAATTTCAGCACAGGTTCTGTATTGCTAACTTAGTTCCTCCACAGAATTTAACTGCAGAAAAAACATGACTCCAATATCAGCTTTTGTAATTTAATACAATGGAATATTATATTGCTGTTGCTTCTGAGGTATTTATTTTACTATTCCATATAGCTGCAGCTTTTTGTTACAGTAAGATCTTAAAAATTAATGAACCAATTTTATTATATTCTACTTAGACATGCTCATGGAGCTGGTTTCACATTTTAAACAAAATTTTTTAGTGACAGCTTGAAAGGCAATCCATGAAAATACTCTGGTGAGAGAGTATGACTTCAGTGGATTTACTCAAATGTTTTCTTAAATCAGGCATGTTCTTAAACCACACACCTCCAGCAGCTCCAGACACTGCAGGAAGGGCTGCAAGGAGTTCTTGGGGAGAATATTTCACCTCAAAAAGGAGGAACAAGACACTGTATTGCAGAATAATGTTACTGACACAAAGAATTTCCCGGATTGCTGAACAGCCAGAAAACACCACACAGAATCTCAAAAAAAAATTTAAGAAAAAAAAAAAAGAGAAAAAAAAAAGAGGGTAGAATTAAAATACCTATACTAGCCAGCGCCTTTCAAAACAATATTTACAATAATTTGGAGCTCAGTCCAAACCTCTGGATCCAATTTGTTCCAGAGCACTTGAAATTAAAGCTCCAAATCAGCATTTGAAAACAGTTACCATCCAGGATCATTTAGACCAAACCAGGTTTAAGGTGTTCTAAGCTTTATTTTCACCAGGAAAATTTATGTTTAGGCTTCTGCTTTAAATAGCCTGAACTGTCCCAGAGATTAAGTCCCCAACCTCTCTCCAGCCCAACTCCTTTAGAGACAGAGAGGGAGTGAGCACACAATTGCCTTACTTGGGGTTGGGCTAATTCACATTTAAATAATTTTAATCCTGTAATGTATTACAGAAGTTGCCCAATTCTCTGCAATTTCCTTTTCTAGAACAATACAGGCTGAGCAGATGCCTTAAACACGTCCCTCTTATCTGGGGTATTCACTGTGTTATCATTTAAAAACCCTTTGGGGGCAGATCCTGTAGAGGTTGCTGCTATCCCGAGAGATATGACTTCCAAAAAAATCCTGAGGTTATGGTGCAAGAAAACAAACACAGGTTCTGCTATTTGCAACCTTTATTTCATGAATAATTAAGAAAACATGGCAACATTGGCAAATTGAAGGCGTACATACTAAATACTCATACAGAATACATTATGGAGAAAGTAAATGCCCAGGTCTTTAGTGGTCCTTGCAAACTGAAAGCATATTGGGTCCTCCAAAAGGTTTAGCTTAAACACAGGCTTGCTGACTTTTCTAGCTCCAATCATTCCCAACTTGTGCCTTTCAAACCAGAAACAGGGTGAAATACAATTGGAACATTCATTCAAATTTTCCTCAAAGCTGTATTTCTCAGCTCTAACCAGAAGCAAACAATTTTATTTTCCTCCTTGCCATTTAAATATATACACTAATAGACCAGCCTAAGTATTCAAGACACAAGCACTTGTTGAAACACTTTCCATGTCGCTCAGAACCTGCAGGAGAACACATCTGTGCACACACATTTACACGTGTGCATGTGGGAACGTCTGTACATTTATGCAAAGCCTCTCTCTGTGTAAGGTGTGTGTAAACCATTCAAAAGGGTTCTGGAAAAAAGCAAAGTACTTCCACTTGTCTAGAAGAATTTCTAAACCCATACACAGACTGACACACAGCAGCTGTGTTTCAAGGAAGAGTAAAACCAATACAAATCAGAGAAGGTGGAAGGATGAGAAGAGCTTTTAGAATCACCGGGTTTTACATCACCTTTAAAGGCCTCACATGGAAAGTGAGCTTTAAATGAGCTACTTAGGAGATTCCATTACTGGCTGTAGTGTCATCTCAAACAAATTTAATCTTTATCCAGTATAGTGCTGGGGAGTCAGACTGAGGCATCAATAAAATCCTGTTCTTTCAGCAAGTCCAAAACTCATCACACTTCTGTCAGCTCTGCCTCACACCTGAACTGGGAGCACCCTCGTCCAAGAGGGGAGGGTACCAATTAATGCCCTTCTGGGTTTGATCAGGAGCTGCCCAGTATTACTTGTGATTTATTTCAGATACACTGAACAACTCTTGATCATTACTGACCTAAAGTGAACTTACAGTCTGGAGGCAAACTAGTCTATGCCTTGTTTAGTAGTGTTATACTTTCTTCCCATTAGATAATATACAGAAAAAACACATTTCTGTTCAAAAAAACCCTTCAGATACATATAAAAGTGCTACTTATAGACAGAAAAATTAACCTTACAATACACAAAACCAAAAGTTTTATCTTACTTTTATCAAACTGAAATGTTGTAAGTTACAAGGATTAATTACTTGAGCGTGTTACATGTATTTGTGTTCTCCTAGCTGAACTGATTCCCAAGTAACCATCCTAACTGAACATATGCAATAATTGGAAACCATTAAAAGCTTCCAGAGACATTGCAACAATGGAACAAAACAAAAAAAAACCCAAAACAAAAATAAAAAACAAAAATAAAAAAAAATAAAAAAAAACAAACCAAAAACTCAAAAAAACCCCAAAAAAACCCAAACCAGAAAAAAGAGCCCCTGGCTCCCCACTTGTTGAAAGAGTTCAGAATCAAAAATGGATTATTCCATTATTGCAAGTGCAGTCCACAGTCAGAACAGGTCAGTTCATGAGCTGTGGAACTGGGACTGCCAATGGCTCCTGTGCAGCAGGAAATGTCTGCTGGGCTCCCTCACTAGCACATAAATACACCAGATACATGCAATTAAAATAAAACATGGATCACTAGGGTGAAAATGCACATTATACATTGCTATGCTGGGGCAGAGCAGGTTCCAAGCCTTGACTTCCCCAAGCAACTTCCTCATATTCTAGAACTATGCAAAATACAAAAGCCTTAGAAAAGTGCAACAAAACTAGCTTTATGACATTTTCCTTTCCATTTCCATAAATACAATCTCAAAAATATTATTAAACAGAAGCATACTTCCCAGTGGAGAACTAACAGGCCACATTTCAAATTTCAGTGAATGGTTTTACCTAAACTGAAACCCCCTGAAAATAGGGGATTAAAATGAAACCAGCTTAATTGTATCAGGCTGCTGTAATTTTCTGCCAGAAGTTTATCCTACTGCTCTGCATCCCCAAGCTCTGCTGGGATTGATGGGAACTTTCTGTGCAACTCTGAGGCAGACAGTGGCCTTTGGGTAAGGAATATTCCAAGCAAAATCTAATGTCAGTTGGAAGGAAGTCATCTGGTATTCATAGGTTTTACTAAAGTTTCACTGGGAGGAAATAATTCTAATACCCCAGAATGAATCAGCTCAAGGAGATAGGACAATGGCTTTGTCAAACTGAGTTCAAGGGTGTTGCATCCAAACAACTGGCAAGTGTAGCAGAAGGAAAAAAGACTTGTATTAATTAACAGAAATCAGAACTGTACATACCTCGACCTTTTAAGTTATTTAACATTAATTATCCACAGCATACTTGCTACATATTCCAGATGCTTAACATCTTGGGTTAGATAATTATAGAGTATTCTACAAGACTGATTCTGAAATCAGGGAACACAACAGAAGAACCTCAGATGAAGGAGGGACACAGCAAGCCACACAGTAATTTAAAACCCATCCAGCCAGTCTCCTGTGAATGCAGAAACACTATTAAAGATATCTTGCTAAATAGGGACAATGAAATGTATTAAGAGATGTCTGTGTTTTGCCAGTCAACACACACTAACCTGGGAAAGCACAATGGCATGTCCAGAACTCATGGCTGATGAAGACACTTTAATAGCACTTCTTAACAAGTAATTTCTCAAACTGGTTAATATTAGCTTAAAGAAAGGGATACACCAATGGTAGCTAAAAGAAAGGAATTGCAGAAATAGAGCTGTGCAGAACATAAAAATCAAACAGAAATAAATATTTACCAAGTCAAGGGAAGGATCACAAACAAACTGTACAGTTAACTCAGTCCATACATGGACATGACTATTTTAAGGTCCTCTTTCTAGACCACCTCAGCATAACTCACAAGAGGCAAAAATTAGCATGAAGGTGTATAAATGGGTTCCCTCCCAGAAGAGTTTTGGCCCTTAGGAGCTCCTGCTTGGGGCTGTGTTAATTGCAAGAGGCAAACCAGAAGTGATGTCACCACAGGAGTCACAGGAACACGGTTTAAAGGTGTCACTGCATCACTTCAGCCTTGGGAAGGAACCATCACACACCACCTGAACTCCAGGCAGTGTCCCCAGACCAGGCACAGGCAGGAAGAAAAACACCCACAAGTTCTCCAAATCTCCAGTTTCCCAAATAATCTTGGTTAAAACTAGGCTGGAATAAAAACTGTGCCCTGGGCCAAATCTGTACAGAAATAGAACTGAGTGAAAATAATCTTCTGGTGATGCAGAAGAACCCAAATGTCTGGAGTGTTGAAACTGAAGAAATAGCTAAAAACTTAACGCTGAGATCAGTAACAGAAAAGAGACTCCAATGTCACAGCTACACAATTCACAAGGCAGATCCTCAGCAGCTTAAACCACTGTACTGCACCATTACAGGAGGGGTCCAATTTATTTCTCCTCATGCACCTAAAACCAGAGCATCACTGCTGTCAGGGACCTTAAAAGGAGTTTACACCAATAAATTAAAGCAGAGTTCATTTAGCTCTGGCAAATTAAGGGCCTTCTAAGACACGATGATGAACTTGACAGAAAAACACAACAGTGGAAATATTTCATAAAATTGGAGACAAAAAATTATCAGAAACACTACTTGTAACTTGAAGAATATATTATATGTAAGAGACACAAAAGTCTAGCTTTAAATCAGAATAGATCATAATTATATACTATATTCTGGATGAACTATCCACAAACACAAATTTAAAAGGGAAAATTTCACTCAGTTTTTCAGAGGCATGGGAATGTTTTTTGTGAGGGACAGAGATTCACACTGGAGATACTAAATTAGTGTTTCCATTTAAATAAACAGCCAAATCAAACTGGATTAAACAAAACCAACTGGAAAGCAAATGAAGTGTAACACCTATGGAAGTGTTTCCATCCACAGGATCCAGAGGATAACACAGCTGTACCTGCATCAGGATATCCCACAGCTCCATTTTGTTGCCCACCCTACAGCTGGCCATGAGTAACCCTGATATTCTACAGCACAGGCATTTGCAAGGCACATAGTAAAATTTAAATGGATGACAATAGATTCAGTACATTCAGAAATACCTTCTGGATTAAAAGGAAAGTAAATCAGCATCAACTTGCATTTCACATATAAAAAACAAAGGCTGTTTCAGGATTAAATATGAACAGAAACCAAACACAACAGTATATTTATTCCACATCCAGAAGGGCTACTGCTATTTTTCCTCTTGAACAGTTGAATGTGGTTTGAACCTTCAGAAAAAAACACATTATAGAGTGCAGCAGGGCATTGTGTTTGCTTTAGATCTTCCATTGCTTCATTCCTTCCACTTGGCAGCTGTGCAGCACCTCACATGTAAAGGCTCAGACACATCAGACACAAAAACCTCTTCACAAAGCTCAGGGTTCCTGGGCTGGATTCACAGAGTTTTATCAGATCACACCAAGAAGAAGTTTACAGAGCTCTGAAGTTCATAACAAGATCCCTTCTATAATTACTGCTAGCTTTTGTCTCTCTTCCCTTCTGGAGACCAGCAGCTCATATTTTTAACAGAATGGATCTGGCAAACGTGATTTCTCATTTGACAAATGGTTACACTCTCAGGGTTATTGCATTTAAGGATTCTGACAACATTCCAGGTAAATCAAGATGACCATTGGACAAAAAAAAAAAAAATCAGCTCAAAGTTTGAATTACCTCACCAAAACAGGTCATGAGTGAATTTAGATCAAGAAATGCTATCCTTTCCATTAGAAAAATATTTTTTTTTAACTCTAAGGCAATGAATAAGACAATCATAGATATCTGTTCAGAGGATAAACAGAAGGGTTTCTTAAACACCAATTGGCAAAATCTGGAATTTAACTATAGGAGGATAGAAAGCAAGACAGCAATAATGTGTATTTGCACTAAGACCATTCTTATTAAAACTAATGAAGCAAAAAAAAAATTAGAAGAAATATAGAGGAAAGGAAGATACATTTCAGATTTTTATTAAAATCTATTAATGAAGATGTTTCACTTGAAACCTCTCCTGCAACAATTGTTTTTAGATTACGTTGGCTCTTCAAATGCACCAATTAATAATCTGAGGGTATCTACTTCTGAAGAGCTGTAAGAATGTTTGAGACACTGCTGCTCTGAAAACTTCTCCAAAGGCCCTCAGCAGAGGTTAAGCAGTTGTTTTGCAAAGTTCCATAATTCTCACAGGCACATATCAGTGTAAATGTGTATTCTTATACAATGCTAGAGACATGCTGAGTTATTACTCTTCACGTGGGCTATGTTCTTCAGATGATGGGGTTTTGGATTTGGCAATACTTCTGAGTTAAATCTGTGCTTTTATACCATGAAGAAGTTTCACAGATGCCAAGCACAGTTGCATTCACTGGGTTAACATCTATGACATTCAAACTGTCCTTAACAGTCGGAAGAGCACCATAGAACAGATTTATTTTCTTTACAATGGGGTTACTGCTGAAAGAGCCTGTGCTTATAAATAGCAGCTGTTACAGAACTCACTGCTCAAGTCAGCTTCTGCTTAATATTAATGAGATCTTCCGTGGCTGAACTGCTGGTAAGTGTTCAGAAAAGCAAGAGGCAGAAGCAATGACAGAGTGAAGTCTCCCCTCGATTTGACAAACAAAATTACAACAAACAGCTCATGACAAATGGAGCCACGAAACCGCTGGGAGCCATCAACATTCCACACCAGGCCCTGAAGTGCCAGGACGTATCAACTCAATGATCGCTAAGGCACTTAAACTCTTTTGCCCAAGAGCTGCTAAATGAATTCAGGTACATTTTCAGAAAAAAAAGAAGTTGAGCAGACTAAAGTTTCTCAATTCCTTCCTTGTGACAGTGAGTCATTTCCATGCAATATTTGAGACTACTGGGTGTACACACATTACATCAGTTCCTCCACAGTCCTTCCCAGAGAACATCTCACCTTCTGTCACTCAGATGAGGATGTGCAAGACCAATGAAAAACACACAGAAAACATGGCAAAGCTGGATTTTGAGACAAACTACTTCATTATTACATCTTGTTGAGAATATCTTCTCTACAAAGGAAACGCTATCCCAGTTCCAAACTTCTACCACAGATATCCATGGCGTGTGCTCGTATTGCTGTAGAGGAAAGCCCGGGGTGGCTGCGTGTGCTGCACAGGCAAAGGAGGAAGAGAGCAAAGAACAAGCCAGACAAGGGGTGATTATTGATTCATTTCTGTTAGAGTGGAAGCACAGGGACTTTACACAGATTCCTTGAAGTGTAGTGTACCCTGAAAGCCAGGAGCTGCATGTGCTAGTCTTTACAATCCATAAGATAAAGATGAAAGCCACATCATTGTGACAGAGGTAGGCTTATAATGAAGCTTTAGAATGAAGACTTCTTCTGTGCCAGATTTTTTGAGGTATCAAGAGCACTTTTCCCCTCAATTTTTCATTATGGATTCAAAGCTTGTTTTCCTAGAATATTGTGCACATTTTAAAGGATGGAAAATAGCTATATAGGCAGTAACTAAGTTACCATTAAGAACTCTACTGTTTTGGGCTGCCATATGCTGTGGGTAGAATATTCAGAGTCTGTGGAATCAGGATGCTACAGAAAGTTCAGTAATATGATGCCATGTTATCCTTTTCCTTCTCAAAGCTTTATCTGTACATTCAGTCTCCTATATGCCAGAGGAAGCATTCATCTTACTCTCCCAGCAAAGAAAGTTTCAGGAAGTCTGACTGGAAAGGCAGCACAGAAGTAGTTCAGGCTCTTTAGGCTACATAATTAATCTGAATAGCTTAATAACTTGGGTTATTCCAAGCACTGTGGCAACAAGTTCTTGCTTTTAAACAGTTGTTTCCATGCTTAGTAGCTGAAGCGATCTGAGGCAATCCATGCTAGTGTCACTGAAGTTGGAGGGGACTCAAATGTTGCCAGTTTTCAGTGAAATGGGGATCAGCATTTCAGTAAGATTTCCATCTGGTAGCTCATGGTGGTTGTATCCCATGGATCTGACGAATGATTAGGGTTCAGGTTTCAAAGTATTTGTAAATTGCTGTAACATACAGCATGACATTCTGCCAGTCTGGACGCTCAGTTCGCACCATTTCATTGATGTCCTGTCACAGAAAACAGATTGGTCAAAATCAGGAATGAAAACCCTGAGAGCAATGTGGCAGTGTTTGCACACATTCCTGGGAATGGTAAATCTGTCAAGTTTCCACAATTTAAAGTACTGATGAGGAAAGCTCTGTTTTCTTCCATATATCTTGGTATTACTCACAAAATGTAATGAATAGCGTATCTGTAGATAGTTCTTTTGTTGACTTAAGATTGAAATGCCTGATGCTGTGCATGCTCAAGCTATCCCCCACTGAGTACAGCTGGTACAATAGTCAGACTTTAGTGTTCACATAACCCTGCACCAGCCTTGCAAATCAACACAACCTACCCAGGAACTGTGAGCCATGGAATCAAGGCTCAGATATTAATTAAAGTTCAAAATTCCCATCAGGTTAAGCATCAATAAATAATTTACTCCCATCTACCCTTTCCAGCACATGTACAAAGCAAAACAGTGTGATGTAGTTCCTAGTAACTTCTGTTTACTGTAAGGCTCAGTTTGATGCAAGAATCTCCAGAACTCAAAAGAGAAGTTGTGAGTTCTTTTAGCTGAACACCTTCTTCAGAGAATGAGTAACTTCTACTTGCATTCCACTCCTGTTTGCATACAGCACTTTTCATACCTTTATTAACCCCTTAGTCATGTAATATGGATGAGAAAAAAATCCACAAACCTACACATCACACACAGTGTGCATGTAGGTATATAAATATATACTGAATTCTTCAGATGGATACAATTTGCACTCAGACTGAATTCCATCCAATTTGCCTGCTTAAGAGTATCTATAATGAAGCACATCACAAAAAGGAAGGGCAGACAGCAACCATGTGAACTAAGGCTGAGTTATAAAAGAATTTCTGCAGTTATTTTCCACAATCTCATTCTTACATCAGCACTTGGTAAGAAACTTCCACATCTCAAATCAGTGCCAAAGTCAAAGTACGAAAGCCCAGGAGTTACACTGCCATTGTCAGCAAACACAATGCTGGGGGGTAAAAGCACTGATAAGGATCAAGGAAAGTGTTATTTTTAAAAACTCTGTTGTACTGTTAGTTGCTAACTATGGCAGCTTTGTTAGAATTTAGGTTGCAAAAGTATCACTTAAATCTCATTTCTGATAATGGCCACTCCAGCTGAGATTTTGTGATCACTCACAAGGGTTTGGGATACTCCCAATTCCACACCTTCAGAAATAATCCTGTCCTAGTGAACACTCTACTAATGAAAACTAATTCTTTTATTCTAAAATTTGTGTAAGACAACTTTAAAACAATCACTAAAAAAACCTTACAACTATTTGCAATGATGACAAATTAAAAGTGTAAACTTAAGAGGCAAATCTCAACTTTCACACTACACTGAGAAAATGGAACAAATTACATTGCTTGATTTGTAGCTCAGAGTTCAAAACAATCACAAATAATTTAGAAGTAGGTCAGAGACAGGACAGATTTAATGGATTCTTGAAAATCTTATTCTCAAACAAATTCACTGCTGTTATTAATATTTATTTTCATATTGGGAGATACGTGTTGGTGGACATTCCTTTCAAAGCTTCAGTGGTCTGTATTTCAGTCATTATTTAGTGCAGTAATATTTAGCTGAGCTCATCTGCTGCTATTTTTAAGTATAAACATCCAAATCTTTTGAGACTACAAAACAGAATAATTTTGATTTTTAGAAATGGGTCATAATTCATTCAATATGCATTTAAATCTTACCAGAGTAGATTTGATGCCAACACTTTCAGCTGCCTGAAAAGCCAAAGTGAAATTTCTTCTCTGCATGAGATATGAAAACATGTTAGAAAACAAGGAAATACTGTTTCAAACATAACAAAATGGTCTTAAGAATGTTCATAATGATACTATCACTTTTGCAATTCAAAAGAGCCATAGGAATGAATGTTTAAATATCATCCAAAAATTTAGAAAAATTTTTATTAATTGCCTGTTCAGAAAATAATGGTGAATATAATTGTCAGTGAGGACAGCTGAGTTATAAAATACTAGTGAGGAGATTATTTATCCTCTAAAAAGCATAAATAAAGAAAAAATCACTTCATGCATTAATGAAATAATCTTTTGTTTTTAGGATCTATTATCATTAATGGTACACCCTGGGCTAACCAGCAGGTAGGAACTGTGGCAGACCAGAATTCACAGAGGTGATTTGGAGCTCCTAGTAACACTGGGGCTTTTAGAACTCTAATTAGTTCATTGGTCTTTATTAACTCATATTAACTAAAGCACTGCTGTCCTGGGAAGGGGATTTTTAATGTCTTACCTTGTCCTGGCTGTTCAGTTCTTGATAGGGAATATGGGCTGGGAGGTAAGTGTGGAGCACTGCACAGAAAGCCAGGCCATCATTCCAGCTGCTGCTGAAGTTTGTGATGTCAATATTCTTGAAGGGAAAAAAATAAAAGCAATATTAAAATTGCAATCTAATAATTGTTACATGCTACCAATTCATCAATACTTCTTTTTAATACCTCTGAAGAAATTGGCTGAGAAAATGGACAACCCAATACCAAAGTTCTGTGGTAAGAACTGCACTAACAGAGAAAAACAAAGTAATAAAGTGATAAGAAAGTCAGTTTTTTTATATATTAATTTCAAATAAATATTAAGTCCTCCCTCAAAAAAAAGTGCAAAATGTGTGCTTGAGTGTGTGCTAAAAGCCATAAAATGTTGTGCTAGAGAAGGTAATGGATCTGGTGCAACTGGACACCCCAAACAGAAAAGCAAATGAGTCAAAGATGTGTACCCCAAATCCCTGATCAGACAATGTGCTCCTATCTCTGCTCATGTTCACTCTATTTTCTGCTTCTACTACAATCATATCCAGACAAAATTTCTAAATGATGAGGAAAAGTATTTTCTCTATTAAGCAAACTATTTCTCCATAGAAACTGATGTGAACAAGATCACAAAAATACCCTTCCATTTGGAAATAAAGATGTTCCAGCAGATTTAGTGCTGACAGTAGAAGAGAAACTTTGGGATTGAAACTGAAATTGAAAACTGCTGTCTTGCACTCTTGATCTTTTAGTTCCCGTAGGAAGCTCAGTGGCACTGGTAAATGCATCTCCTGAGACTGTATAAATTATTGTAGAGTCAGCCCAGTCCAAAAGAGTTATGAACAAGATGCCTCAGTGACCTTTTAAATGACTGTATATTTGGCTGTTGGCAGTCAAACAATGTTAGAGAGGCTAAGTGGATAGCAGTCAGTTTAAACTTTAATTAGGAAACAACCAGTAACAACAATATATCATATACTTTTACACTTTCATGGAGAAATATAAATATGCTTTAAAAGCCAACTCACTTAACTGGACTCAAGCAGAAGCTTAATTTTCCAAGTTTTAACAGGAGGAACTAAAACCTCCAGTCACAGAAGTGCAGGATCACAATCACCTGAGCCAACCTTTCACCTGACAGCAATTTAATCATCATCAGCTCTCTTGGACAAGACACTAAAACTGCTTATTCCTAAGGCAGAAAACTCCACCCAGGGCCAGTGTCCTGCAGTTCAGGGCAGTTGGAGACTTCAAATGAACAACAACCACCGAGAGAGGAAAAAAACAAAACTCTGGGCAATTTCTAGAAGAATGTGAGGGAAATCTTGGTTTCCTGCTGAGCTTTAGCTGTTTAGCTGTGAAGTGGCCCCCGTGCAGGCTGGGCTCTGGTGTCAGTGTACGTGCTGGGGCTCACAGTGCCCGCGGCCGGAGCCGCTCCCGCTGCACACGGAAACGGCACTGGAGACCCCCGGGCTGTGGGAACAGCTCTGCTTCCTCCAGCCACATGGCTGGGAAAATTCAACAGCAAAAGGGAAAAAATTGAAGGGAGAGAAAAAAAAAAAATAATAAAAAAAATCTCTCTTTTCTCCTCAAGAGAGACAGGAAATTGGATTTAAATTAATGCCTGGTTAAAACTTTCTCGCTGTTACTTAAATTAAGGAAATATATGCAATGCATAGTATGAGGTTTTAAGGGAAAAAAAAAGGGGAAAATGTCAGATTGTTAAAGCAAACAAATTTCTGCATGTGTCCATTTACAAAAGTCACTTTTTGGAACGTTCTTTCCTCCTACCCTGTACCCAGTAAGGCCTCAGACTCACATGTGTGTCAGTAAGATGGATAAACATAGGGAGAGAGGCTTTTTCTCATCACAGGAGTGTGTGGCAAGCTGGTTATAAAAATCAGGTGTGAATGATCATGTTTGCTTTGCTACACAATCCACTGAGGGAGAAAAACTCAAACCTGGTTTTCACCTCTTGGCTGAAATGTTCTCACTCTTTCCCAGAGATGACCAAGTGATGTGGGAAGGGGAGGAGAAAGATGTACACTGGCATTGCCACAGTGAAATTACAACATTCAAAAGTCATCTTCCTTAAAAAATTACAATTGTATAAACTAAAAACTTCACTTTAATTATTAGTAAGTATCCATAGAATGCTTTATTTTTCATCTACACATTGAGGGGGGGAAAAGGGCCACTTAAAGTGCACCTACAAGTTTGGTTGGTTCTCAAACAAAACCAAACTCAGAATACCCTATTTTTCTAAATCATCTTGTAGGGTCCAGCTTTTATTATTAAGACAACAAGCAGAAAACAAACCCATCATCCAAGAATTTTAATGTATCCAGAGAAGCTGAATTAAATACAACGGAAGGAAACAATTAAAAGGGACTGGTTTTTGTTTCCAATTGCTCTAAGCATTATGAATTATTATTACCTCTCAGACTAAAAGAAGTATAATATTGGGCAGACAGTAAAAACACAACTAGAAATGGGACAGATTGTCATTTAAACTGAAAATTTAATTTTTCATGTAGGGCTTTGAGCACATAACTGGCACATTTAAATACAGCAAATTTTATTTCCTAAATGCTTTTAACTACTTGTGGTTTTTTTGAAAAAGCTTGGTCAGTATAATGAAATCAATCTTGCATTAAGCTCTTATTTCTCAAAGAACTGATGGTAAACAGAACATCAGCCTAAAATCTCTGACATAATTTCTTCTTTGTTACTGCTTTATTAAGTAATTGCCTCTATTAAGAGAATTCTGCTGGAATCTAATCTAGAATTATTCTTCAAGACATTTCAGACCACAAAGTATTAAAGAAACTGAAGGACATATTTCCAGATAAATTGTCAAATGAAGAATAAATTTTTCTGGAGAGAAATTAACTAGAAGTGGATTTATCATCCCTTGTCTATTAATGATTAATAGGTAGGATGGGAGTGAAGCCACCTTTAGTACTTGGGGTAGTTGGTTTTTAAAAAGGTAATTCTAGCAGAAGTTAAGCAACAGACCACTGTCATAAAAAGATCTGTGGAAGACACATTCCAACCAGTAATAAACAACAAAGTTAAAAATTTGTAAGACTTTCTGGAGACAGAACATAAAAAGATAAAGTGAAAAAGAGATGGTAATAGAACAACCTGGTAGATGCACAACCAAGAAGCATTTCAAGAATGACTCCAGCCCCTATTGAACTGGAAACTCCAGAGTAGGAGCAGCCACCACAAAATGAGGATTCCTTTGAGCTCATATAGAAAAAAAGACTAAAACCAGTATTCCCCATGAAACTTGTTACACTGCTTAACAGGCTCTGCATAACATCAATCCTAGACCTCTGCAAACCTATGGCTTTCCTAAAATTCACCATTTCAGAGTGGTTTTAACCAGCATACTGCTAATTTTAAAATTTTCTCCTATTGCTTTTTGCAATAACTCTAAATTAATAGAGGGTCTTCTAAAGTCAGTGAAAATACTTTAAAAAAAAACCAAGCCAAGAATCAGATGTTAACTATTATAACCAAGTAACTCCTTACTTTTTTTTTTGTCCCCCCAGGAAACTTCCACAGCTAAAAAAACCCAAAAACATCAAGAAATCCAACTACAGAAAACATGGTTTGTAACTTGCAGTTACAAATTAAGAACAAAGTAATTTTAACCACTCTTCTAGACATATCCCCAGCTTCAAATCTCAGTGAACTGTGGACATCAGAGCTTCAGCTGAGGACCATCCTGCCCAGCAGCTATTTCTCCACCCCTTGCTCTGCACAAGGAGATTCCCATATCCAAACTTGGTTTGGCTCTCAAAAGAGTCAGGACATGAAGAAAATAAAAACATGTGTCTATGTCTCTGTTGTATTAGTTAATTAAATAAGTGGGTTGAGAAAGCAAAACCATTAATATGATTATGTGCTATAATATATTAAAGCCTTAAAACAAGATTTGAAGTTTAAGTGTACAGACTTTGGCAGGCTTCTTCCCATGGCAGAAAATTACTAGTAAAATGCTTTTAAAAGCTTTTAAAGATACTTCCACAAAAGAAAAGAGTATCCATTATAGAAGATTACAAAGGTAAACTACAACAGAACTGCTGTCCATGCTTCATTGAATCAGGATTCACTGACTCTCAAATCATGGAATAAAACCATGGCTGTAGGTGAGAACATACAAGACATAAAAGTATTTCTGGAATAGACTTTGCAGCAGTCCCAGCTACTGCCTCTTCAATCCCAGCTTCTGGAAAAGCAGTAAATGGTAAATATAGACCATCAAAACCCTTAAACACTGACTGGTAATGTTTTTTTTCTACAAAACACATGTTATTTTTTAGTTTGGGCACAAAGGAGACCCATAAAAGAAGCAGTCATTCTCACAAAATCCAGTAATAGCTTCAGACATGAATGTACTTAAAGGTACAGACAGCTTCATAATTTATTCTAAATTTTGTCATAATTAAGTTGAACAAGTTGACATTTCTCTTGTATCAGAATCCAATCCAAACACAAAAAGGAAGCATGTCCTTCCATAACTCAACGACTTTTGGCTAAAGCATCAGCTTAAACCAAAGAGAGAAGTGTTTTGGCATCCTGACTACTCTGATGAATCAACCAGACAGCACAGAATGCACACCCTGGAGTCAGTATTTGAACACAGCCTTACATAAGCACAGTCATGTCCTTTTCTTGTGCTTTTTTAAAATCAATAAACTACTGTGAATGGAATATGACCTAGCTTAGTGTTGATAAGTTTTTTTAAAAAGTAACCTGAACCATTTTTTACTTCTAGTTTTGTTGTTCTACTCTTATTGCTCAAGCACAAATGAAAGCATTGCTTGATTTCAAGGTGCATTGAGCACAGGATTCAATTTTTTGTAAGACTTGTAGCTTTGATATGTACAGGAGCTTAAACTTAGGTCTTTGCAGGAAAAATATTTCCAGAAAGCAAGATTGCATGAAGTAGAGGGTAGGTACTACAGGGCTACACTATGTGTATCTGTACCTAGGAAGTGTATAAAGCTTAAAGAAAGCTTAACAAATAAATTAGTCTATTCTTGTTGCTATTTTGTGACAATTGCTTTTTTGGTGTCAGACTTCTGGAAATGAATTATCTCTCAGAATGCTGACAAAAATGGAAAATGAACTGAAATACTGGTGGAGATAAGAATGGGTAAGGATGTGTGTATCCTGTTTGTTGGTCCTCTTTTAACATGAAACATGCATGCTCACATCCTTTTTGAGACGTTTATTAGCTGTGCACACAAAATGAAAGTAGCTGTGTTCCAGTCAGGGTAAATGCTCCATAACAGCTGGATGGGATTACTTTATGCTTTGAAGATATCTGGAATTTATGACAGTTTTATGACACTGCACATATTTTAGAGGAGTCAGGAGGATTCTCTCCTCTGAAAAATGCAGCACTTGGCTCTGTACTCTGCAGCAGTGTCAGATCCTGAGCAAAGCTAACACACAATGAAATTTCAAGTATTTTGTGCCTGTTGATCTGAAAACTAAAGGTGATTTGCTTCTCTTTTATCTAAATGCTTATCTTGAGAGCAGCTCTCCTCTCTCAAGGCTTAGAGATCTCTGCAGCCCAGAATACAATGCAGCTCAGTAACTCAGTGTGTGCAATTGTGTCAAGACTGAACAGGCTCTGGGTGGAAAATAATACAGAACCTGCCTCTGCTAGTCCTGCACTGACCTTCTGCAGATCACCATTCTCCAAACCTGAGCTCCAAGGAGAAATCCTGCCTGCAAACAACACTCAGGCAGCACATTAAAAGCTGCAATATAGTAAGAGATGAAGTCATTCAGGTTTTTATACTGGTAATTTCTCTTATTTTTATTGGCTGTATCAACCTGATTTTTTTACTGAGGTCTTGAAAAAACATTCTGAACACAGTTAAATATTAACAACTACATTTAAAGGTGACTATTCATTTATTCCCCTCCAAATTTGCTTGAATAAATCAAGAAAAGTGTACAATGAAGTAATTTACGGGGCTTTTTAACAGGGTTTATTCCACTATAATGGACTGAAATTAAGAGCTTCACCACACTATCATATTTGAATTATTTAGCATTCACAAAGTTTCAAGCTTCTAAAGCAGGAATAAGTACTTAAGACTTTTAATCAAAAGCTTGAAAGCAATTTTCTAGAAGGAATAGGAAAGCAGGAGTTATTTCTCTTCTGTTTCACTTGAACAGACAAAAAACCCATACCAGTTGTAGCAGACAATTCTGTAGTGCTGTATTCTCCATAAGTATGTTGAGAGTAAAGAAAAACCTTCTCTCTTTGAAACAGGACAGATTTTGATGTGGGGTTTTTTTGGGTTTTTTCCTTCTTTAGTATTTTATCCTGCTGTCATTGATAAGGATAAACCAACTCCACCACATCTGGTATTTAACAGGCTAAACCACTGGCAGCTCACCTATAACTCTATACACCTTCAAAAAGTTTTAGAAATTAAGATTTGTATTTGGTTACTTGTGTGATTACTATTTGTTACTATTTATTAGCTATTTTCCACTATCCTGTGCAAAATATAATGGCAGAGATGAAAGGCAAAACAATGCCAGGAGCAAAGATGTTGCTTTTAGAAATGGAGCTTTAACTCAACGTGCATGGTTCCATCTTCTGTGAAACACCAAGAGCTGAAATAATTTTCTATAAATACCTTTCATGCATTTATGCATAAAAACCTACAGCTGTGAGACATCACCTCCAGGTGAGAGAGAGAAAAGACAAAAAAAGTGATCACTGTTGGCAATGGATGAAGAAGGAAACACACCCTGAAAAATACTAAGTATGGGTGGTTTACCTAAGGATTGGTAGTTAAATATGAATAGGACAAAATTAAGAAAAGAGTTATTCTAAAACAAAAGGCTTCTAATCCTTTCTTTTCTATTGCTTGTTTCCAAATTATGGTTACAATCTTGCAGGTCATTTTAGAACTTGTTACAGACTCAATTTGCAAGTATCTATCCTTTAGCCTGCCATATTTGCAGCTAATATTTGCCAAATTGGTAATATTGGATAGAAATTGGTGACTGGACAGAAGGTGACCTACTGCTCTTCCTAGAGGAAAAGGTTGGGATATGTAGGATTCATGCTGTGTGAGGCTCCTGCAGCAGCTCAGAGACAGAGGAGGGCTGGGCAGCCAGCATGTACCTGCAGCTCAGAAAGCTTGAGCTGGCTCTCAGCCAGGTGCTAAAGCAAACAAAACAACAGTGGTACAGAGGAAAAGTAGAAGTTCTGTTGATAGGAAGTGCAGGGGAGAAAAGGGAACTGTGGCAGTGTGAGACACCAGGAAGAGCTGGAGGTAAAAAGGGTATCCTGTCCATGCTTGGATGACAGGGAAGGAAGAAGAGCTGAGTACCTTCAGCAAGACTGAACGAGGAAGGGAGATGTTCATTACTCTGATGCTTGTTTCCTGTTTGTCAGTTTTGAACACACATAGTTTTAAAATAAAATTAAAATGAAGCAGAGATTCATTAAAAATTAAAAAAAAAGATCTTTATCTGTTATTGATAACATTGAGATGCCAGAAATCTGTACAAGCACTGTTCACAATGAATACAGTGCTGGGTATGTTTAAAACATTAGAACACCACCAACACGGTGTTCAACCAGAACTGAATTTCAGGGGATGCTGAAAATAATCAAATTCTGTACAACAAAGAAATGAAAAATGAGTGTGCCTAAAGCAAAAGCCATTCTTCTCCCAGAACAACTTAATATAACCTCCTGATACCATCTTACAGTTTCAATGAAGGCATTGCAGTGGCTCTGCAGATGCTCTGTGTTTTCCCAGTACCATGCTGCAGATTCTGAAGCAAGTACACAAAGTCTCAAATCCTTTTACCAGCGCTTATAAAGCTCAAGGAATTAGAAGCAGCAATCTGTGGAATCAGAAGCATAATTCTTCAACGTGCACACAACTACAGAGTGAAAAGTTTGGAATAATTTCTATCACTTTTCCTAACCAGATTAACGAAGCTGTCAAATTCATCTTTCATTTCAAGACAATATGGGAAAATATTTTTGCACTTAGTTCGAGGATTTATAAAGAAATATAACATCCTGCCTTTTTTAAAACGTGGGGAAGGAGAAAGGCTCTTTCCACAAAGCTGCTTATCCTCAGAAATAGCACAGTTGAGTACCAGACGTGCCACAGGAAGAGGGGGAGGGCTTATATCACAGCCTGTCCATTGTGCTGAAGGAGGACTTTTCCTATGGATGGGCGACCATCCTGTTATGCGGCTCTCAACTTCCTCCTGCATTGTGAGGCTCAAGTCATGGAAAGAGTAAAGTTCTTAAACTGAGGATTGTGTTGGGAACTCCAAACACTTTCAATACAACTTAACCAAACAAATACATCATGGTCAGACTATTAACATCCTGGTTTAGTTTGCTGAAGCCACTATTCTTTTGAAAAAATAACGTAATCAGGAGAACTCTGGACAGTTATCTTGTTAGCTCTTTTGGCTTCTGATAACATTTGGACTAAGTGAAAAAAAAAGTCTGCAACCACAGTGGAAAGCCAAGTTCAAAATGCAAGACAATGCCACCTTCACAAAACAAACTGTCCCTAAGAGGCTAAATAGGAGTGCATTCAAAGATCCAAATAAAACCCTACGATAATTACCTATTAAAAAAAAAATATCTCTGAAATCTGAGAAACGGTACTCCAGCTGCATTTGGGAAACATTAATTTAAACCTTAAGTTGATAAAGTTTCAGCTCCAGTTTCAAAAGTACAACCTGTTAAAGGCTGATTTCAAGTGCCTCTTTGGGAGGGCAGCTGCTCCCTTAAGAAAAAGCTGCGGAGCAAAGTGACAGAGGAGCTGCTGGTGCTGGAGCAGCACTGGGAGCACACGTTCCAAGGGGAGGGTACAGGACATGCCAGGGCACCCAGTCTATGCAGTCAGGTGTGGAGCAGCCTGGCCTGTGCCACAGGCAGGCTCCACTGCCTGGCAGCCACTGGACATGGCATTAGCAGCTCTGCAGGTACCTGGTAGCCCTCTGTTTTCTTCTGGCACCACTTCAGAAGGGCGTTCCTCTTGGAGCCTCCATATTCTCTTGCCAGGGCAGACAAGGGATCTTTCCTCTCTTCCCTAGAAACAAGGCCAGAAGAGCTTATAACACAACAGAAATAGGTATTTATAAAGGCTTAAATAGAAGGACAAATTCTTGGCACGCTGTAACTAGCAGGATACAGCACTTCTGACTGAAAAACAGAGCACACAGGAATACCAGCAAAAGATTTTTGAGTTAGTTTGGAGTAATTCTTTCATTAGCAAATCATCCTTTTCCCTTTAAGCTTTTTTTTTACTAGGTCTTTCCACCTCAATGATACTTCTTTCTTAGAGTTTGAAAAATTAACCTCACAACATAGTAAGTTCCAGGCTGAGCCATTAAGCTAACTCAAGTGACTTTATTTCGTATTTAGAAAGAAAATAAACTGATGCTATCTCTTTTGCATCTCATGGCTGATTACAAATGTCACCTTGAAACAATAAGTTTGCATATGAGCAGCATGGTTTTATTAAAAGAACATTTGCCTGAGACCTGGAGTTCTCAAAAAAGAAGGGGGAGATCTATGTAGGCTGATCTGCCATTTGATGTATTAGCACAATAAAAGCAGTCAATTAATTTCAATTCCAGTTTGTCAAGCTATCTTAAGTAATTTTTTCCTTAAGAAAAGATTGGGAAAGAAAAGAACAACCTAACTAACTTGGCCATTTTTTCATGAGCCTTACATTACAAGCATCTCTTTACCAGGCTTCATAAATGAATTGTTAGCTTAAAAAAATATATTACAGAGGCTAATACTACCTGGTTACATAATTCAGTATTTCTATAGATATTATAATAAACAGTCTTTGACAAAAAGAGCAAATACTACACCATTATGGATATTAGTTACCACACATGAAACGTGCCAGGAGTTGTTCTTGTTTCTAATAATCTCCATTTGGAAAATTAAATTAAGATAGCTATCAGTGAACTGCAAAGACTTCTCCATCTGCCATTTTTAAAGAGTCTATCAGATGTAAGCAAAGTTTTCACAACATTCACAGAGATGATACCCTAAATTACTCTTTCTGAATATTTCCCAAAGGACATAGGGATTGTACACATTCACACTCAAATCTTCAACTCTTTGTTCTTTACAGCCCATATGGTGACTGGAAAGAGGGGCAGAACATGGAAATAAATAATATCATCAGTGGATTCTCTGCTGCAGATTTACAGGTAGCAATTCTCCAGCTCCTGCCAAGGGAAAAGAAAATATGCATGGAATGTGAATTTCTTCCTGTGTGTGCACTATAAACAGAACACCAGAGACTGCTCCATGTATCAGCATCTCCTGGCCAATGCATAAAATGCATGGCCCAACAGACAAGGAAATGTTTTAAGGCACTAATCTTAAGTACATGTATTGCAATTTGCTTGGCCAACATATGGATGGGCAGAATCTTGAAGTTACTTAGAGATAACAGTTGAAATATCCATGAAAATTTATGCCCAGCAGGACAGTAAACACAAAACAGTAACTGCTATCTTTGATGCTGAGCGTTCCAAACAAACTGCTCATCTTGATTTAACACAACAAGGAAGTCAATAATTGTGTATTTAAAATATGAAATAAATTATCTGAATAGGTCACTGTACCTAAACTTCATAGGCACCACACAGCTAGAATGATGCTTCAAGAAATTCTGTACTTCAGTTTTTAAATCAGTACAAATATCAACAACTTACACTGGTGTATTTTTTCCTTTGGTGATTGAAACAAGTAACAATGGGATTGCATATTCAATCTATAATGAGGGTTATGCAACACTATGAGAACTGAAGAACAGAGATCTGGGGCAACAATAGAACTCAAATAAAAATATCCCTCTCTCTTTACGCTAAACATACTGTTTAGCCATGAGGGAGCTGTACAGCCTGTTCTCAAATTCCAGCAAGAGCACATGGTTTATATCAGGTTCTTGCAGTTATGAGAACACTGCAGAAGAAAATAAATTAGCATTAAGTTGTATGGAGACAATGAGAAATGGCTTGACATGCAAATCTTACATGTCATATTAGGTCATACTGTCAACTGTATTCCAAATCAAAGAGCTAATGAAGTTATAACTAGAACAGAGAACAGTAAACTGCAAGTATTTGTTCCAGTGAACTACACCAATAATATTATCCTACAGTAACTTTCAAGAAAAAGGTAAGGGAAACCAGAGAAACCTGATCATGTAACAAACTGAACTCTACAACACTCAGAGTGGCTCCAAAGGCCACACTCATCACCACACACCCACTGCTGCACAGCCCATTAAGTCTTTTGTAGCACCAAACATTGCAAGCAATGGTTGGGCAGCACAGTAATGATTTCATAACTAACTGTACAGTTTCACCCTGGAATGCCACACTATTTGCTCCAGTCTGCAGACACCAATACAACTCAATGTTACCACTTCAAAGTTCATACACAAGTGTTTTAGGGTTTTCTTAAAACTTATTTCTGGAAGTACTCAGTTTAACTTTAGGTACTAAAATACACATTAACTGCTGGTAATAAAGTACCCACAATTAAATTCAATTTCATTTCTGCACAATAAAAGGAGGGCAGCACTGAGGCCTTTCTCAGCTGATTCTAGGGAAATCACTTTCAAAAGCACCCACAGCTGTAAATACCTTACAATTTAATATATATAGCAAGTGTCTGAACATTAAAGGTTTAATACTTCTGTACAAAAGCTATGTCAGGAAGCTCTGTGAGAAATGGTCTTGACAGATTTATTTAATCTTTGTCTGCAATTTCCCAATCTATGAAGCAGAGCTGAGGACATACTTCACTTGGATAACATGAGGATTAAATACTTTGAAGTCCTCTGACTGATAACACAACAGAGAGGAAAAGTTTTAAATTTACCACAGACTTATCTTTTGTCTTACTAATCAAAGGAGGTTGTCTGGCTATTTGTTGCTCAGACCTGTACTATGACTCTGTCTGTGGGACAAAAAAACCCAGGCCCATTCACTCATGGTTATTAAAAAGACTTGCCAGTGTCTGGGATTAAGACCTGGGCATGTTAGTTTTTGTGTTCAACTGGGATTACACAAGTTAAGGTTTATTATGGTCACCCTGGGTCCAAGTCAGTCTGCATGATCTGTTCCATGTGCAGTAAACTCACTTCCTGAATTTGGCTTTGTGGTATTTTGAAGTGGTATTATTATTTACTGACATGATTTAGCTTGCTTTTCTAGTGGAGTATAAAGTTCTGGTATTAACTCATAAGCTTTAAAAAGCTTAACTTTTAGTCTAACTTTTTAAACAAATACTGAGCTGCAGAAAAACCTTTCTGAAGCTCTTACAGATTACTGAAGATCATTACTGTGTAGGGTCTGTAGTCTCAGCACCAGTATTATATACTAAAGATATGCAGACAAACAGCTGTGGAATTAACCCCAATAAAGGATTTTTACCTTATTCTGCTTCTGGTTGTAGGGGTGACTGATGCTGTAGGAGAAGATGAGAGGGACAGCTGTGGTGAGGTGGTACCCATTGCCATGAGAGATGCTGGGGATGCTCCATCAGGTGCACTGATGTCCCGTTTGATTTCTTCACTGCTTCTTCGAGACACTAAGGGGGGGAATTGCCCTTGCATTTATCATGTGCAAACAAAAACTTTCAAACTTGCTCTCAGACAAGGATTTGTTCAGAAACCAAGCATAGAAACTGATATCTAATAGTAGGTGTCAACATTCTCCTTGATACTTTCCACTTTGGAAATATGAAGGATTTAGACTGCACTAAAAACATTTATGCTCAAGCCTGTATTTTTAAGTTTGATGGATGTATCTTAATGGAACATCACTGCTTCCACTTGAAGGATTTAATGAATGAGAAGGAATTTTAACATCAAAGCATTTATTTTCCTCTAGTCCATATAATTACACTGTGAAGCTTCAAGTAGTTAAGGAAAAAGAAAACCAAATCAGTTTAGAGATGACAGCTGGTTTATTTCCATTTAATTTTAATGAAGAATTGGCATGTATGTGATGCTCTGGACATTAATTAAATACCATCAACAAGAATATCAAACATTGACCTGAGACCAGTCAGCCACATTCCACAGAGATTGCTTCATTTTATCAAAGGAAATTATTTTTCTTTCAAATGAGAGTACGAGCACTGTACTCTGTAAAACCAAATTTGGAATTGTTACATGTTCTCTACATGGAACAGTTTCCAGTTAAAAGTATGAGGTTTGACATTATTCTCAAGCAGTCACCATTGTTCATGTTTGTGCAAATCAAAGATTTGACTCTCTACATAAATCAGGGACTTCTTTTCTAATGACCTGGGGACAAGTACATTAATTTATAAATACCAGACACAAGAAGTTTGGGTTCTTAAGACAAACAAAAATTAAATAAAACTTATAAGCACCCTCAAATACAGGGTTTTTAAAAAAAATACTGAGCTAGAATCAATTCTGCCTAGATTATACAAAGCATCATTTTCACAGTATCACACTATCTGTGCTATAACTCATAAAGATCTGGTTTCAGAAGCCCCTGCTGATACTGAGACATCAGTATATACAGTTTGATAGTAAACTAACACTCTGCATAAACTTGCATTTAGCAAGTCTGGTTTTTTTAAAATGCAAAGTTAACATTAAATGTCCAGCAACTCAAATCAGCAATACTAAGAATATTTGTGGGTTATGTCAGTCACAAAGTAGACTGGAAGTCCGTGGCTGAAATGAGAGTTCCTAATTTTCCTGATCACCTAAACACTGTGCTATTACCTGAAATAGATTTGGCACTTTCCATAGCAGGGACTCTTGGCAGAGACGCCGGCCGGCTGGTGGAGGATGTTCTCAACAAATGTTCTGGACAAAGAAAAAGGAGAGAGGTCATTATTGCTGAAGATTCCAGTCAAATGTAAGACATTCAGGTCTGAGGCACGAATTCTACCCATCAGTGCCTGAGTTTGGCTGTTTTAGGGAGCGTAGTTGATTTTATCTGGAATATAGAGAAGCCCTAAAATTGCCTAATGCCAATGAAGTGCTCTTAGAATACACCATGAGCACCTTTATCCTTTTGCCCTAAAGCCTCTTGCTAATCCACTTGCCCTGGTCATTAAAAATATCCTTACACCAAAAGGCTGAGAAGTGAACCCCCATTCAGCACATGGCCAAAAATATTCAATATGTCCCTCACAATATTCAGATTGCTTTGTCCCTCAGGTGATTTGTTTTTCTTCCTCCCTGGTTTGTTGGATTGACATTTTTTGGGCTTTGGGGGTTTTTTAATTGTTATTACTAAATAAAACAACACATTTTTTCCTTTTTTCCTCCATTCGGTAGAGTCTAAAAGGTGCCTATTTTATTGAAAGATTAGTTCTGCCTAACGCAAATGAGTGAAAAAAACCCAAATACAACAAAATTAATTTTCTATAGCAACAAATCAAAGCTATTTCCTATTATGAAATGTTCCTTCAAGTAAAAACTGCAAACAAAAGGTTTACATACTCCTACATAGAATCACTTAGAAGACAGTAATTTGAATATAAAACCGCACAGAAACAAGAATTAAGAAAACTGAAACCCCATTTATTAGTTGAAAGTGGAACATAAGGAACATACATTGCTGGAGAGATACATTAAAATTATGTATGGGTGTAAACAGGAATTCTGTCTGGAATACAGTCCTGCTCCTGCATTCACTAATTCAAAAAAACCCATAAAAGCTATGTAAAACATACCACTCATTTTGTGTTTAAGCTTATGTCTACCCCTGAACTCTGTAACAATTAAAGAATCCTGTATTATCTTCTTGGAAAGGCATTTCAATATTCCTAAAAATATCAAAGTTTCTAAAATTAAAACTGCAGCTGCATTGTACAAATAGTCTCAATATGGATTCAACAAAAGCAAGAAGGAAATCTGGCACATACAGACTATTATGAAGTGCTACAGAAAAAAAAAAACCCAACCCTTTAGAAAACATCAGACCTCAGGAATACCAAATTGAGAGGAAATATTCAGCCTGGAGTCATATGGGGATTATCTTGAGAAACATCTACACACAAAAAGCCCCTAAAGCAGGCATAAATCAGAGAGCTACACCCAACACATGATAGCCATTCATTCTCACAGGAAGAGCACATTGTGAACAGTGTTTTGAGAGACAAAACAAAGTTCACAGAACAGGGGAATATTGGGAAATAGATAAATCAACACTCGATTCCATTCAATTTTTCATCTGGCTCCTAAAGGTTCAATACTTAAGTTCATTTTATTATTCACATGGAATAGAATTCCAACCATCATCCTTGTTTCGTTTTAGGGGGTTGAAAACCCCACAACCACACAAATACTGTAATCCCAGAGGTGGGTTTTTCCAATAACAGGGACAGCTGCAAGATATGTCCCTGAAATTATCTTATCTTGATTTTACAAGTGATTTCAGTTTATGCACACACTAAAACTTATCAGAATAGTACCAAGTTATCAGCAGCTGGAAATTCAAAAAAGCATCTTTATGTTACACCACCACATGTGATGAAACAGAAATAAAAAGGACTTAAACGTGATTAAGCGTCTATGATTCTATTAAGGTATTTTGATAATAAAAAGTATGTAACATAATAATGCTTTGGATACTAAATATTTTTTTTTAAAGCTATCAATAGCAGTGCTAAAACCAAAGTTTAAATGAACTCGAATTAGTACCTTGAACAGGAATTTCTGCATAGCTTGGTCTTTTGTCTGTCAGTGTAGCAAGGGGTTTTGAAGATGAGATTGGCCCACTTATGGAATGCCTCTGAAATGGAAAAATACTTGTGTCAGACATAACTAGAAGGTAAAAAAACAAATGTGGAATTGCAGAATCAGCTTTAGAAATTCACATATGACATTCTTACTAATTTTAACGAACTACAAAAATAAAGAAACCTTTGAAATTTTTTCCTTCTTTACTTTAAAAGCCTTTACTTTTGCCAATCTGACTGTGCCTTGATCCTGTAACATTTATTTCTTTAAACTGAGACCTGTTCCTCAAACCAATGTTAAAAATTAAGGCTGTGAATGCTCTTGCAGTTTTTGCATTAATTCTCACCTTAATTTATATTTTGTTTGAACAAACCTGTTCGGGTTAAGATTGATGTGTTTATTTAAACCAACACATCCCCCTATATAAAGCCAAGGTTTTAGTGCATGATTTGTGTTATTAACATAAGCCTTTAGAGCTTTGTGCCTCTTCCTGGAAAGTTGGGAGAATGGTGTCATGGGTACAGTGACCCAAAGTAGTCTTTGCTATGAAAAACACTACTGAAAAGATGGGGTTTATTCAGAATGTCAAGTGCTTTTGTTGCCACATATTTAACTGAGATGCTCTGGGAACAAATGGAGGGACATATTTTATTATTTGCTGAAGATGTAGTAAAACACCATTTTATTTTATTTTTTTTGCCTTCTCAGGTCACTTTAATTCTCATTCTCCTCTAAAGAGCTATGAATTTAGCATTTTGTTTTCAAGTTTTATATAAATATTTAGCAATATATGGCTTTCAGCAAGCACATGATCACAGCTGTGTTAAGACTTGTACACACAATTCAGTAAGCACTGAATAGGACTAAAATAAACATTCTAGTCTCACACAGTGAAGAGTACAAAGCAATAATTACCCTTATAGTTACTGAAACAGATTCAGTTGCTGAAGACTCATGGAGGATCGCCCACAATTATTTCAAATTAATCATTTCAAAGAGCCCATTGCAAATTATAGTTCATTCTTTATTTACCCTGTCCTTTCTATTAGATTCCAATACTTAATCATAATCAGTCCACTAATGTGTTTATCCTGAAAACTCTCTCAGGCCTCCATCTGGCCCAAGGTTAAATGAGTCTTGTCTTCATAAAATACTAAAGGTCAGGTGTTTCTCATGCCAAATTATGTAGGCAAGACAGACAAATCCAGAATTGTGATTAAAACAAGTTAACAGTGTATAGTTTACAGCATCCCACAGCACGGGCAGGATTACAGGGCCACTTATTCATAAGCTATAGTCAAAATAAGAGTTATACTTTTGTGCTAGAAATCAAATGGAGAGAACAACTGCCAATGTACAGCTTGAAGAATTTCATATATCTAGTGCTTCACTTCATATATGTAGTGCTGCCCATACATGACAAAGCTTATACCTTTAAATGTGCAGGTGAAAGTGACTGTGAGCCATGCACTGAAATGCCCACAACAACTTCCCTCAAGAGCTGGTATTTCAGACTTACATCACCTACTTCAAAAACCCCCAAATATTTCCTAACTAAAGGACAAGAACCAAAGTAAGCTGTTTCACTCCATCTCCCCACACCAGGAAACAGCTAAAATGAGATAATGAGGCTAAAATAAAATAAAATAATTTAATTTTGGTCAGCTTTGGGACTGGAACTACAGAGACAGGGGAGTACAGAGCCAAGAAACACAGATACATAAAATAAATATGAAAATAGTTATAAATATAAATATTTTAAAATATTTATAAATAAAAAAAGAAATACAGAGCTGGAAAACCATCTATCTTTATCCCTTAAAAACAAACATCTTTTATGGATATTGTCAGAAAGTGGCTGCATCACTCAGCTTGCTGCATATTGGTTCTGCCTCTTTGCAATAAAACAAACTGGTTGTGTCTTTGCTGCTGTTGCTCTGCTCCCTTGCAGGGCTCTCTTGCACTGCTTAGTTCCTTATTCCATGTCTCACAGCTGCCAGCAGGAACACAGTGACTGATGCACTGCAAACCAGAGGAACATGGACCAACTGACCTTTACCTGTTTTCACCTGCCTTCATCTATGTAGCCCTGCACAGGTATCTGGGAGATGCTTTAAATTTGAAATAGAACTGTGGCAGGATGAACTAATCACTTCAACTCCAAATATTTGGCCTCTGACTCGTCATCCTTGTGTCTGTTTCCAGCTATGGAAGGAAACATGACCATCACCACTATCCAGGTACCTCTTCCCAATCACTGTGCACTCCACGCCAGTGCACCTACATGTGGCAATTGCAGAACAAACACAGTTTTTCACATATTGACTAGTTAAGGTATAGGAAGTCTTTGACACTGAATTGCTTCGACCCTGGAAGTTTATATGCTCAAAGCAAACGAGGACATTCAATGGTAACCTGTAAATGTGAAACCATGTCTGTTTCAGAAAGTCCTCCAGCTACAAAGCAGAAAAAGAAAGTACCCAGGGAAAGCAGCAGATATACTGCACTGTCCTTGTATTCCTCCCAAGGCATCTGCTTTGGTCACTCCCAGTGGGATACCAGACCAGCTAAGCTTTGGGCTATCCCAGCAGGGCTGCATTCACATTTTGAAGAGCATTCTCTTCATACCTCTCTTCCTAAATTGTTCTGCAGTACTGCTAAGAGACACAGTAAAACAAAGCTATGTTCCATTGCAGGCTTGGACCTGAAGCCAGAAAGGGTTTTTGTTTGAGTTGCAAAATATATCCAAGAATCTATCTCATTATACATACACACACAGCTATAAGGAAAAACAAAAAAGCAAACAACTCTTCAAGACTGAGGAAATTCCTTACACAGTCCAAAGACAAAACACATGGTTGATGCATCTGTACTTGGACAGTGTTTTCTGCAACCAATCCAGCTTATGGAAGTATCAACACTGTGCTAGTTTCTCAGTAGGTGCCCATGTAAATATTTCCTCTGTGACTGCATTTAAAAGCAACCAAGATTAATGATAATAAGCACTGCAACACCAAAGACATCCAACTTTTCTCAAAGGCCTTAAACCATAGATGACTTCTATAAGGTGGGTCAGCTCACATTGTGATTACTCATTAAAATTGTGCTTTTCAATTGCAAGAGAGCACAAACAACAAAAATGTTTTTGAAAATTACACAGAACACAACAGTAGAAAATGAGGCAGCAATATGAAAATAAGGAAAACTCAACCCCCTTCTCTCTTGAGCAGAAAATATTCACATAACTGAGGTCATGAAACCCAATTGCCTTCTGGATAATTACAAGCACTTTGAAGAAAACCACCTATCTTCAGAAAGACAATAGAAGCTGTTTTCATTTACACACCCTCCCCTTTGTTTTTCAGACAATGTTTCCCACTAATGAGTATCCAGCTGTTAATGACTTGGGTCTATAACAGAAGTTGAATTCAAAATTCAAGTAATTCTTGCAGATCAAGAACATCAAACAAGAGCCGTAAACCTGAGCAGCTTTGCAGTATTCTAAGAGATTACTTTGGTTCATGGTTAATTTACAGGTAAATAAAGTGAGATAAGCCTTAGGCTTCACCAAGAAGTCTTCTGTCTGCCAAAGGTCTGGTTCAGCCCTTTGGAATATGAGATTAAGTCTGCCTCCTCCTACAAGAGTGCAGAAATAAACAGAAATATAAAGACAGATCAATAGGAACAAAGCATCTGTCAGCGAACTCGTCACATTTAACTAATTTAGAAAACTGCTGTCAAGAGTGACTGAACCACAAGAAGCAGCAGAAGCTCTCGCAAAAAACCATTAAATTCTTTCTCTTTGCTTTAAGGCTATCTATTTGTTTCATGAAATTCACCCTTAAATGAATAAAAGCTGCACTAGTCTGAGAACAGGAGAATAGTCAGTCTGTTCCAGGTATTGTTCCTTGAGGACAAAAAGATAATATGGCTGTAGAGTCCTCAGTTCAGGCAGGGAGGAGGTATTACCAAATCATTACACTGGCCTACAGTGAAAATCCAGTTTTGGAACATTTGGATAGCAATATCTTGAAGATATGAAGCAACAGGAGAATTTATGGATATTAAAGGAGTAAAACAATGTACATTCTTTGATTTTTCTTTATGAATCTGGTCCCATCTGCTTTGTCTTTAAAATTGTTGGCTTCTGCCAAAATGTCACTTCATACAGCAAGTGAGATAATAAAACCAGCAAAGATCTACAAAGCTGAACATCAGAGTCCTGACAATGCCATCTCAGTGCACCAAGGCTGCTGCAGCAGCTGGTAAAGGGACAAAGCTTCAGAGAGGACAGCACAAAACACACAGCACCATCACCCACTGGCCAAACTCTGTCAGTGCAAAATGAACAAAGATCAGAAATTTGCAATTATTTCAATCCTCTCTCTCAGGCCTGCATTGAACGATACATTGCACTGATGACTGCTGACAGATTCTGCACAGACCTTAGTCCACTACCAAAGGGGATTACTGCTGTTTCCCTGCCAGGCACAGGACTAAGAACTGACAAACAGCAACTCTAAAACCAAGGAATGCAAATAAAGTCTTCCTCTCATGCTTTTTAATAGCACAGGAATAGCAGTGGTTGTGAATATTTAACAAGACTTCCAAATTTCCAACGTGGTTCTCAGTGAAAGCCTTGTTAGACTGAACAGTTTAGTAATTACTTAATTAAGGCAACATTTGATCATTATTTCCCCAGCAAGTCAGCTGATATTTGTATGTTACCACCTGTAGTTCCACACAATCTTCTTCACAGAGAAGGATTAAGTGCAGTCATAAACACCCACCTGCATTGGGGATACAGCAGCAGCTGGGGGAGTTTTCATGGGACTTGGGCTCAGGGGAGTGCGAGGAATTGTGGCAGCAGCAGGGCTTGGAACTAGGAGGAACATGGAAAAGAAGCCATGGTGAGCATGACACTGTTCTGCAGTGCAACAGGAGACTGCTAAAGCCAACCCTCACCTTGTACTTTACATTACTAGTTCTACCAGATCACACTCTCAGAATTTCAATTAGCAATTGACTGAAAAGTCATTTCAAAGTATGCCTACACATTTACTCCCCTGCAATTACCTTCATTTGCTGTCTTTCTATCATCCATGGTAAAAGCCTGAGTTTGCTGGGGGTGGACAAGGCTAAGGTGCAGGATACTATTACCTTGGCAGATGTAAATCATGGCATTACTAGTTCTCTGATCTTCAGACAATTAAAGAGATAACAGCAGGCTCCTGGCCCTGCCAGTAATACAAGAAAGATTAACTATATCACCTGCTTCTCCTTTCTAGTTTCTAATCAAAGTCCATGAGCATTAGATTATTATATACCTTAAATTTTGGGATTAAACAAGTAACATTTTTAGAAATGTATGAAAACAGAAAAATTCTAAATTGGTGAATCAGTGATCTGATGATTTAACAGCATGATTAGCTGGACACGAATGCTGAGGTAGAAGGCAGATATTAGCTTGAAATGAAACATTCCAAAGAAGGGAGAAGGGATTTATCATTTAACTAAACTAACTCTGGCAAGAAAGCAGCTTCCTCCAGTAACACACTAAAAAAACTTCTAAATTAACACTAGAAAACTAAAAAACTGTAAATACCTATGAACAAAACATGGAAATAGAAGCATTTACAGAATGGTTAAATAACAAATATGGTTCTGTATCTTAAATGTCTTGGTTCTAAGCAGTGAAAAGCAGCTTTGCTGGGCACAGCATTGTACTGTACTGTCTCTGCTTAGTCTCCTTCAGACCAAACCTTTTTACATGAGACTTAGGGTAACTTTGCTGGACGTGAAAGTCAAAACCCAAAGACCCAGCAAGGGAAATATTTTAATCCATTCTCATAAGGTCTCATATGCAGTTAAAGGTGAAACTTAGTGTTTCTCATTTCAGAATAATTACTTGGACCCCTTATTCTGGTCATCTATAAAGAAGAACACCACTTCTTCCCACAATCAGAATCAAATTCAAGTCCATTGTCTCAAAAGTGAGATTCCTTTAATTTTAGAAAATATCTCCTATATCTTTCAATAGGTGATACTGGCTGGATCTTACTTTTAATTGTCATCAGAGCTGTAAGATACAAGTTATTAAAAGAAATAAACTCAGCTCTAGCTATTACCTGGCTTTTAAAATGCTTAATTTGGTACATTAAGTTCACATTTTAATAATCAGGCTGAAATCAGCTGTGCTCCCAGCTATAATTATGTGTGTCATATGTGTTTATGTATTTCTAATATACAGGAGCACTGAATCAAAGCATCCAGCATATGAGTCACTGGCAATGCGACAGCAAAGAGAAAAATAAAGACAAGACAAAAAAAGGGATGCTTGCATTTAACTGCAGTGAACAATCTGTTCTGCAATCCAGTTTGGGTTGGTTTGTTTCAGCCATCACTTGGAGGTCATGACAGGATAAAGCAGTTTGAGTTAGCTGAGCCACCAGAGATGACCAAGGGACACGTGCAGAGGGTTCAGCCCGGTGCAGCTGCTGCTCTGCCTGCTGGACTCACCTTGGGAGGAGGCACTGTCAAAGGACTTGATGAGCGTTTTCACAGTGGGAGTTGGCTCTGAGGAGGTGGAGGATCTGCGACTCAGGCCCATTCCTTGTCTCAGAGCTGCCAAATCTCTCTCTACTGCATTCATGTAATTGTATACTCGACCACGTTCTTCTTCCTGCCTAAAGGCAATGTGCTGCTCATGTAGGGTATTTAAAAAATATTTTAACATGCCAAGTCTTAAAAAAATCAACACAAATTGAAGCTGAATTAAAATCTATGGTCCAAATGGGTCATTACATTAACCTAGTTTCTTTCCACTGTAATTCTCAAGTAGGTTATCAAGCCAAATTATCACTGTAAATTCTTACTATTTGTCAGCAACAGAGCTCAGCATCTGGTAAAAAAGTCTTTAAAATCAATATTTGATATAAGGTTTAATTCCTGCTCCTATCTCACACACAGATGGAAAAAAATTGAGACTTAAGGACTTCACCATTCCACATGAAAATAATCGTCTTAGAGGGGAGATTTTTTTCCACCTGAATAAATGGAAAACAATTTAATATTAACGAGGTAAGAATATATTTCTGGTACACATCTTTCCCTACTAGATGCTGAGATAAATGTAAGTTACCAAATTTCCATCCATGCAGAAAACAATTGTTTTATATATATATACAACACAAGCATCATTACTGTAAGCTATATACATATCTGACCCCTAGAGACAATGCAGTCAGGACTCAAATGGTGCTGATCACGCTCCTATTTGGGGACTCCCATCCTTTTGAAAGACATATATAACTCAGGGTCTAAATATCTAAAGCACCTAATTCAAGCCACAATACATCACAATTTGGATTATTTTTGTTTTTATATAGAAAGAACCTCTAATTATCAGTGGAAAGAAAACAGTATAATTATATGCAGAACTAGATGAAGGTTTCTTCTCAGGTAAAAACGCAGCTGTGTTCTTAACCACACCAAAAGCCTTGGCTGCTAATGAGAAATGTTAATGATGGTACAGAAAAGCCAACACTGCTTGTTTTTCACATGGTGGGAAGTGAAATAATTTTTAACTGTTAAACTGGAAAAATCCTCCACTTCAACCTGGTTTAGTAAAACCCTGGCTGGATTAAGTATACAGTACTAAGGAACAAATATTACTGTTGTAAGCGTACCTATTTTGACCACTGAAAGCAGCATAAAGCAGCTTGCAGAAATATGGATCCTCACAGTGAGAGGATTTACAAACCTCTGGAGCCTCAATAATTAAGAAACTGGATTTCCAAAACTTTTTCCCCTGCAAAAGAGACCATATATCCCTGTTGTCATTTGCATACTTGCGTGACTTTATCTCCTCCAGCTCCCATTCTGCTGACTCCTCCTGGAAACATCAATTTGGAGGTTAAAAATGAAAGTTATCCATATTATTCATAGTTTTCCTATGCTGTTAAAGGAAATGATTTACAGGAGTGACAGAGGTGCTTGTTCAGTGTTAGGCACAACCTAACTCACAAGTTAAATTGGAGAGGTTTTGATGAAAATAATTAGATTTTGAAGGTTATGAATTTCTTTTCTGGAGACAAAAAAAAATTCAAAGTGGAGGAGAAAAATACTTAATATTAAGCACCACATCAAAATACACAGGAACATTTTCTCATAAGCCAAACATTCTATCTTTGTCACACTGAGAAATTTTTAGCATTGTTTAGTGTCTGTAGGTTAGTAAATGTATTCCCATGATGCCTGTCTTTCAGAAATAATTATTTCATTGGCATTGTATCTAATGGTATTATCTTTTCACAGTTTCATATGCTGGTTTTAGGACATTCTAAGCTTACAATTTATTGACTTTCTCATTTTTTACCTACCCGGAGTCTCCTGTGAAGATTCTTGATCTCTCTTTCCATGTCATGCTTTTGATCCTGAAGTTTTTTAACTGTATCTGGAAAAAAGTTAAATTCCCTGTAAAATCTTAGTCAGGGATTTATTTACTTAAAAATGAGTAACTGAAAAGACCTGCAAATGTTTTTGAAGACTTACTGAGAGAAGATATTTTTATAACTGAAGACATCTGAAGAAACATAGCATGAGCAGGAATAATTTGCCAGAGGGTGTTAATAGGTACACATTGCTCTGTCTCTGGTAAGGGCAGCAGCATAAGAAAACTGAATTCTTATACAAATCCCAAATCCCAATACTAAAATGACAAAGCAATAATGAAGAGCAAGTAGACAAGGTAGGCAGTTTAACATGAAAGGATCCTAAAAACATGAATGTCTGGGGGTATTCCCTCCTCAAACATAAGCTGCAGCTACATGGATCCTTTTGATTTACAGTTTAATTCCTGTCACAAAGCAGCTGACATAACACTCGCAGCCGTGTCTTCCACAGGGATAAAACTGCACTCACATCCCCAAGAATCTGACATTCTTGTCTATCAAGCTACTATTTGAGGTCAAAGCAAATTATATTTACAGCAAAAGGCCAACCAGTCTGTGAGCTTGTGTTATGAGAGAGATGGTCCCCTAAATCTGTCAGCAGCGACACAAAAGAGTTCACAGCCCGATCACCAGCAGCTCCTGTGTGGCGTCTGACAGACTGGCTACTGCAATTATTATTCATTTGTGACTTTATTCAATACACAAGGACAATGTAATTGATTCCTCCATTCTTAAAACTTAGCAACTAATGAAGCAGAACACAGCGTAAATTTCTAATTGCTGTGTCACTTCACTGATCCTTGGAGTCTAGGGTGTTTTACTTCTATAGCATCCTAGACTGTAAAAACTGTAAAAATGATGTATAAACTGACCAAATGCATTTTTTTGTTCAGGTTCATTATCCCAACACCTGCTGGAAACAAATATTTTTCCTGTGTATTAGCAATGCTCTTTCCACAACATGACTGAAGGTGCCTAACACATTTAGGCTGTTCAATACACAAAACCTTCCTCAACAGCCCCAAGTACAGAGACTTTTTAAGTCACAGTTAATTTCTTTACAACAATCTTATAAATCTCAGCTGGCCTGAAAACATGATAACCTTTCAAACTTGGGAAAGTTGGAACATTAAAAATAGACAGATATTTCTGTATTTATCTCCTTGTAAGACTCCCCATTTTAAGTTGCACCCAGCTGATCTTTAAGCTTTGAAGATAAGCCTACAGGGTGGGCCACTCAAATCTAATGCCACCATGATACTTTAGCAAAGCCCTCCAATTTTTAGCTTGTCTCTTTATACACAGTTAGTTTGAGCTAAATTCAGAACCAGGAGGCCAGCTTTAGGCCAAAGTTATAAAACTTGCTCCCCTCTACCTTTTCCTTTAAATGCATTTTGGAACAAATCAAGTCAATGTTCATTTTCACTTTTAAAACAGTTCAAAGAAAAAATGTTTTTAAAAACAAAATTTGCAGTATTACTAAAAGCAAGCTATCTAAAAATAACCACAAACCATAAATGCACCCGCAGTTAAAGTTTGTGTAGTGCCATTGTTTTGAGCTTCTGTGAGTTATGAAACGCACCATTAAATTTTAGTGCATTTATGCTTTGAAGTAAAACACAATGGTCTGAATATTCTGCAGGTACCATAAATAATACAGAGCAGTTTACAGCAGTTGTTGGAAACAGTCCTCTCTCTCCTCCCCAGTCAACCAAGGAGATTAAAAATACCTCCCACCAAATTGCAATTGAATTTGAAATGCAGTGAGAAATTAGGACTAACATAGGTGATTTCACCTCTTTCACCAACTACAGCCTGAAAATTCAAGTAGTCAGAATAGGTAGTGGCTGCCATGTGGCATCTTTTCTTTCTGCATCCTTGCAAACTCCACATTCTTCTCTAACACAAACCCTTTCCACCTCCACGTGCCTGAATTTTCAGAATGGTAGGGCAGGTATTTCTACCATTATCCAGTCTCCTTTTTTTAAGGATCATAGACAACAAAGACTGAGATAAAAGAAAAAGTAACTACATGTTAGGGTAAATTAAGAACAAGGAGACTCTTCTGATGAATTAATAAGATAATCAAAAATGGCAAATCAGCAAGCTCATGTTTTACTGCAGGATTCAATTACATCTATATTTCACAAACTGATATTGATTTAAGCCACAGTTTGACAAGGTCTTGCCTCTACCTAAGGAGCAGAAAAAAAACCCATTATGGGACATGCAGACTACAAATGGTAAAGAAAACCTTTACAACCAGGGTTGGGGGTGGGAGGAAGAGTTTTGTAAGGCTACCAGAGAAAACAATGCTCTGTTTCTGCAATTTTTACTAATTCTAACTAGCAGTTAGAATTTATCACTATGAAATTTAATGAGTATCAACATTCAGTTATTTAATTTCAATAGTTTCTGGGGTAAAAATAAGGGAAAAAATACTAACAACATTCAGACAGGTGCAGTAGTTTCAGAAAAAATGACATGACAATACCTGGGAAGGGACACTAAATCAAGTAATTCTGGGTTAGAATTACAGGCTATTCCACAATGGGCACTCTCACAGTTTTTGTGCTGGTTACACAGGCATGCCTTATACTGGGAGAGCACTTTGATTCTTTAGCATAGAAATGGCTAACCCAGCACAATCACAAATACACAGGGTAGTGTAAGAACTACAGCTTCCTTCTGTAAGGAGAAGGGACAGGGTACAAATACCAAAGCTCAGGCAACTTGTAGATCAATCTTGCTTTTGAGCTCGTTATGTCAGATAACACGTCTGTACAACAAGAAAGGTGACTTTTTAAGGGTCCACCATTAGCCAAAAAAAAAAAAAAGTACTAAAAATGTAAAAAAAAAGTACAAAAAATGAACATCCTATTGACTTTTCCAACACTGCTAGAAAAGGCCTAAATATGGTAGTGTAAACATTTCATTTCGTAACTGCTATCAAGATCCTTTTCAATTGAGATATAGCAGAATTAAAACTAACACTGTCAGCTCCATAAAAGAACAATTCATTGAACATTAAATATATCCACCTTCTAGCTCACCTACCCTTGTCCTAAAAATTTACTGACTTACGTAGTTACAGACTAAGAGAATCTATGTGCACCTGTGCCAAGAGAACAAGCAATGATTATTTTTGTGCTTCAGAAGAAACTCTGAGAAGCTAACCTACAAATACACGTTTTCTGCACATCAGGAGTCAAACTTTTCTGGAAAAAATTTCCCCACAAACTCTTATTAACTGCTTGGGAGAATTATAGGTTTCTGTTTCCCCCCTAGTTACTGTGGATGACTAATGTGACAGCTGGGCTACCTAACTACTGCAAGTTTTTGGGAGTCAGAAGTGAAAGCCAGAGGGAACGCGCCATCTAGTGCAGTGTCAGCCTTCCCCACTGTCCTTCCTTCCCCACTGCCTGTTCCAGCTCAGCACAGCAGGGAGGATATAAATGTACAGATTATTTTAATATTCCTTAAGACTTTTTACATACAATAGAATTGTAGAATATCCTTAGTTGGAAGGGATCTATCAGGATCATCGAGTCCAAATCCTGGCCCTGCACAGGTCACCCCAACAATCCCACCCTGTGCCTGACAGCATTGTCCAAATACTCCTTGAGCTCTGGCAGCCTTGGGGCCATGACCACTATCCTGAGGATCCTGTTCCAGTGCCCAGCCACCCTCTGGGTGAAGAACCTTTTCCTGGTATCCCACCTAAACCTCCCCTGACATAGCTCCAGCCGTTTCCTCAAGTCCTGTCACCAGTCACAGAGAGCAGGGGTTGAAGACCACCACGAGGTCTCCCCTCAGTCTCCTCCAGGCTGAACAAACCAAGTGCCCTCAGCTGCTCCTCATTAGGTTTCCCCTAAGTTCATTTAAACACTGAAACTCCTCATCCCAGCAGCAAGGAGTTCAGCTGCAGTGACTACAGCTCTCACCACATCTGGATGGATGTCAGGAACACACTGTGTGGTTTTCATCAATGCAATTTGCATCCTGCTGCACACATCAAAGAGACCCTGTTTCTGCAGGCAGGCATTAACAGCTAAAATGTGACAGCTCAGTACCAGATTACTGTGAAAAGCATTCCACTGCTTGTGCCTCCTTTTGGTGTTTGAAAAGCCCATATAGTGAGGCATGCCCTAAGTACCAGTGCTTGGAGTGTTTCCCATTCCTACATTACTATTTGTGTTGATTAATCATTAAACTGAATGAACACTCACCACTTCATCTGTGAAGCATCTTTCTCCTAAGTGTCAAGTCTGTCTTCAGTAAAATCTTTGAGTTATAATTTTCCATTTTGTTTAGATTTTTTTAAATGTTGTATGTACTACCTCTAAGTCCCAGAGTTTTCACGATGTTCTATGCTGTCAGTACTGAGAGACTACCACGAAAAAACTCCTGTAAGAGGTTTAACTACGAACCCACAATCAACAGTTTTCAAGTTGTCAGAAAAAAACCACACTTTTTAAAATTTATACAATCCTTCGGGTGCCATCCTTTCTTACTGCCACTAGATGCCACTCTCCTTCCAGCATATAACTAAAACAAGAGCTTGCTTCCCCCAAAGGATCACGTCAGGACACTGGCTGGTCCAGATGAATTTTCCAAACTATTTCAAGACCAATGAATAACAAAGACTGTTGCAATTTTTGTTGAGAATTCCTCCCCTGGCAGAAGTTTGTCTGCCTGAACTTTTACCAGTCAAAATTAAGTATCTGACAGCTGGTTTGTACCCACAAAGCAGAAGCATCTAAAATTCAGAGCTGCCTTGTAATCAGGTATTGCTAGGCAGATTCCTAAATATCTACTTGACTACAGTGCTGTTCCCTGCATGAGTGTATTTCAGTTAATGGAAAAAAAACCCCAAAAAATGGAAAACTCTTCAACCTTTTTGAGTCTTTGCTCCAAAATTACTGTCTTTTAGCACAGAAAGGGGGGGAAAAAATTCAGAAGAAAAACCTAAAACTATTTTGTAAAGAGAAGCAGTGATTGCCTTTCAAGATAAAGAAGGGTTACTTAGGGAAACAACACTCTCAGCCATGTCTGAAGATACTGTGCTTGAATAAACAATTTAGCTTGCTTAAGACAGTAACTTTTCTTGATAGCAGACCAATTTAAAACCTTTTCTATGAATACTTCCCTGGCTGTTAGAAGGAATCATGCTTTGGTTTTTTTGCTATCTTGTTTCATCTTTGAATAATATGGAAGATTAACTAACAGATATTTGAATTCTCTAAGTAGCACTGTGCAAATACAGCTTGCCAGGGAAGAGCTGCCCACGTTCTTATTTAGATGGAGACTAATTGCAGAATTCCAGCCCGTGGTAGGAATGTCTGAGCAGGTCTCCAGGATCAGAGAGGGAACTAAGGCACAGAGAGCTAGACAGGTACACAGTAAACATGCTTTCTACTACATGTTTTAGTAATTTGAAGAACAACTTGACAACAGTATTAGCAGATTTCGTATTTGTTCTCTATTCAAAGGTTTTTATTCCCACACCAACTACTAAATGGGTCTGGAAAATCTAAGACAACTTGATTTTTTTTCCTTCCCCTAGTGTGTAAGGATTCTGCAAAACCTAGTCTGACTTGAAATCAGACATACAAAAGACAAGTGAAAATATTTTCAATATTAGTGTTCTACTTGAGCTTTTATTAAATGATCCTTTCTCTCAAGAGAAATGTATAATACTTACTCTCCAAATCGGATATGATAAGATTGTCATGAAGCTTCACAGCACGGTGCTGCTCTACTTCATCCTCCAACTCAAAGATGGTTTCTTTCATGTCACTCCTCTCAGTCTCTTTTTCATCTAATTCTGTCCGAAGCTTTTCTAGAGTCACGTTGAGATCCTCAATTTGCTTCTTGGCTTCTTCTTGGAACACTCGATATTCATCTTCGACCTATCAAAGAATGTATCTCAGTTGCATATTAAACATACTTTTAGTTTTGTAACTACCACATTTACAGTCTATTTCTGCAACCAGAAAAATACAGGAGAAATGTAAGCCTTTGGCTATAAGGGCCAAACTTAAACTCTTTTTATTCCCAGCCTGGATATATGAGCATTCCCAGCTACTCTAAGAGCAGTGCCCTGCATGCAAGTGAAGCCACACCACCATTGTACCAAGGCTGAGGTTTCAAGAGCAGCTGATCCAATTTAACATCCAGCTGCCACGGAAAAGGGACAGGGTGGGGGGAAAACTCTTTTTACCCTTCCTTTCTCTTGCCAAAAGAGAAAAAGCCCAGTCTCTTGTGCATCAATTTTAGTGCTTGCTGGACCTGTGTGATGAGTGATTTCCTTAAGAATGTGTCACATTCGTGTGTGAGGTGTGTTAGTGAGTCGAAAGAGTTCTCAGAGGAGTCTGTCAAACTATTAAACTGAAAACAAACCAAAAAAAGGGGGAGGGGAGGGGTTGACTTCTCCCTTTCAGAAGCAGGGAAGAGGATTTTTTATCCTGCCTCACAAAACTGTAACATAAGTAACAGGCTGGGATCAGAGGCACAGGAACATTAACCCAACAGCAAAAATAGGGTGCCAGCAAAACAAGAGAAATTAGGTTATGGCTTAGGGTGGGCAATGCTGGCAGGCAGCAAGTTTAATAGACAAAATACCCTGCTTTTAAGTCATCTGTATCAGTGGTTTTTATTTTAATAGCACTCTCCAACTTTAATTATTAAAATAATTTTAGTATATTTTTCACCCCAAATTAAGGTTGATTCTAACAAGCTTGTGATCATGATTAACATGCTGATTTGTAGCTAATACATAATTCAGACATTAAATTTGGAATAATTTGTCTCTTCAGGAAGATATACCTTTAAATGCATACGTAGAGTTATTAAATAAATTATGTGATTCTTGCTTTTATATTAAATTATGGTAAATACTTTTAGTAGACATAGCTACTGCACAAATTAGAAATATTTGGGTCAAAACAGAACTGGAAATAAACATTTTGATCCAAAACCTAATCAGCACATAAAATCTTGCAGAAGGTGTGCAATTTAATCACTGAATTAGTACAGTATCTTATATACTATTTAAGTTTGGCCATTGAAATAAGTTGTGGAGTTTAAATATTTTTAAAAAGTAACACAACAGTCACCCTGGAGCTCAACGTATCCATGCATTTTTTTCAAATGCTGACATCATTTCCATAACAAAAGTCAAGAGAAAGTAATCAGTCCTAACACTACTTCAATCCAATTAACCTCATAATTAATCTTTTACTTCTGAAAGAACTACAGAGACCAACAGGTCATTGTGTACATGGGATGTTAGAATACAATGGTATTTTAAGCAGTACCTTAGCAATGGCATCTTGCAATCGATTAGCATCGTTGCGGGTGTGTGCCAGCTCTTCCTGCAGACCACTGGCCAAGGTCTCTGCTTTTTCTTTATCCAGCCTGACACTCTCCAGCAGGTCTTGTATATCTGATTTATCTCCAGAGTTGTGTATGGAATACAACTCGGCCACTCTCTGTTTTTCATGCTCTAGCTGAGCTTTCAGCCTGTTCATCTCAATCTGGTCACTGGCTACTGTGGCTTTGTACTCCTCTAAGGTAGACGCCAGAGCTGTTTTGCTCTTCTGCTCTGACTCAATAATCCGTTCCATGTGGTGATTCCTTTCTTTTAATGCCCCTATCATTTCCTGGGCCTCCTTGTTGTCTTGTTCTGCCATCTTCAAAGTGTTGCTCAAGTGCTGCTGAACGCCCAGCAGCTGCTCCCGCTCGAAGCGAGCGTTCTCCGCCAGCTCCATGTAACGCTGCTCCAGCTCCATGTAGCGCCCACTCTTCATGTCTTCATCAATTACATAGGAAATATGGTGTTCATCCAAAAGGGACCGGAAATACTCAATCTGACGGCTGAAGTGTTCCAGTTTGTCACTCTGCTGGCACAAAGACTCCATTAGAATTACTTTTTCCTCTCCGAGTCTTTCATTCTCGCTGTTCAGCTCTTGTGTTATTTGTTGCAGGTCTGCAAGCTCTTGAAGCGTGGCTTGGAGCTCTTCAGCTGTACTGTGTTGATTCTCTTCCATCTGATGTATCCGTTCTGTCAGACAAGCTACAGATACTTCACTTGCATTGCCACTGCTTCCCTTTCTAGATCTTTCTATACTTGGTACTCCTTCAGATTCAGAAGATGACGGAGCATCTAAGGCATCATCACTTGATGTCAGTGGCTGATAAACTTCGCTGCACTCACTGTCTAAATTATCCATGGAGTTACTGTGTTGGTTGTCCATGAGAGTGTTTTCATCCTGACTCAACAAGTCTTCCATTGATCCAGGAGCAGAACCTTCCACTGAAGATGTCAGAGTGCCCCCACCATCACTGTGGTTGCCAGCTGTAATCTCCGGACTCAAAGACTGATAGCCAAAGAGCTTTTCAGAGTTGTCCAGCCTTTGTTCCAAAGAAAAGCCCAAAGCATTTAGTCTGTCCTTCAACATTCGATTCTCATTCTTCAGCTGGTTGAGCTCTTCTCGGATGGCAGTGTTTTGTTCCTGTAACTGGAGCAGTGTAGACTCAACATCAGTTGGCTGATGGACAACAATAGCTTCTTTCTCTTCAGATTTTTCATCCCCCTCAAGGTTATCTTCGTTGAGTCCCAGCTGAGCACGCATGTCCCTTAATTCATTTCTCAGATGCAAGATTTCCACATCTTTAGTTTTTGCTAATGTCAGAAGATCATTCACCTTTGCTTCCAGCGCAGCTTTGTCACTGATCTGATTGTCTGACTTGGACTTGCTCATGCGGATATCGGATTCTGGGTTGGTGCGGGAGCGGGAGCGCTTTGCCAGCACCATGTCACTGGGCCCCTGTCCTGCCAGAGGCAGCTTCTTGCTCTGGCTCAAACGAGAACGATCCCGGATCCTCTCTCTAGAAGAGCTCGACTCTTTATTTCCAGACGAAGTGCTACGCTTAGCTGTGGAACTTGTACCTGCACGTTTTTTGGAAGAGGAAAGTGAATTTAAAATCAGTATCTCTCACAGAAGGCTGTGTGCTTTGTACCAGTAACACAGTGGTTGATTTTCTGAATCACACTGCTAAATACATTTCACAGAAAATATCTGAAGTAAGCATTAACCCAACATTCAGCATTTTCTGTTCTCTCTATTTTCATCTCATTGCATAAAAATGAAGATAGATTATTACTCCTTTATTTCCAGATGCTTTACAGCTTTGCAAGCATTACTGAATCCAAAACACAGCAATGGAAGACAAGACCTATTTAAATCCATATCAACAACACACTAAATTATTTCACTTTTCTGAACAGTTTCTGAAAGCCCTCTTACTTTATAAAGCAATACAAAATGTCCAAAATGTTCACTGAAACAAGTCATCTTAGAGATTTAGTGCTTGTGTCATGAATTTTTTAAACAGAATTTTAGAAAAATCTGTGATTCTCTAAATTAATTATATTATTTCATTTTATATAATAGTTCCATTGTCAGTACTGAAAAAACTAAAAGGAATACCCTGCAAAAAAGCAATTACATTATTAAAAATGGGAAAGGAGTTCATAAGGTGTGGGATTTGACCATGGTGTTACTGAGCACTTCAGCAGGCAACCTGGATCCTCAATACATTAAATGAGAATATAAAGCCCCCCAACTTCCACCTTTAAGAATCAATATATCCATTTACCTGCAATAGTTTTGGGTTTGTTTTCCAGACTGTTCATGGCTGCCCCTGGAGCTGAAGATGCTGTTGATACACAAGAGTTCTTCTTGGCCTTGACACCGTTGGTCATCGTCACTCCACCGCCACCAGCCATCCCTGCTAAGAGGTCATCATTACTCTTAGTCTGAAAGAAAGGAAAGAAGCAGCTTTAAGACAGCTGGCCCAGAAGTCTGCATAGCCAACATTTCAACTGTTAAAGATTCCTTCACTTTAAAAAGTATGTATTGGACAAGTCATGTGCCTATGCAAGAATGCTGAAAAGTGTAAGTGCACTGCCCTGTGCAGTCAGTAAACTGAAATGGAACTTTAACTCTTACATATGAGTGAGTGTTGAAACTGAGTCTTCTCTCTGCCCCAAAAATTCTTAATCTTTCAGTACAAAGGAGAAAAATAATTTAAAAAAAAATCAATTAAAGTACAGTAGCACATCATAGCATAAAACTTCTCAATTTTAACTGAAAGTTTATTTATGCATAAAAATGAAGGCAATTCTTATATACTTAAACCACCAAATACCAGGAAGTTAGTACAATATCCTTCAATTGAATATGATCAAATGTTTTCTGGTGGACAAATTCACAACAAAAAGCTCAAATCAAAGAACAAAAATCAATCCAACTTTAGCAAAATACAATTTCTAGCTCAAAATACTAAGCTACGGATCACTAGAAACTAGGACAGAGGCAGGGTAAAAGCCACCCTCACCATATATCCTTGCCTTGCTTTCAAGCACTTTTCTAGGGAATTTGAAGAGATGGGGTATTTGTTTGATGGGCTTTTTGTCTAACCTCATGATTGCTCCTGAAACTACTGTTAGCCACAAAAACTGCCTGGAATGTGACAAGGCAACAAGCACAGGATTCTCAACAACCAGACTCCCTAACAGAGAATACATCTTTCAGAATAAAGCAAAATTTAGAAATACTAAGCCCTTAAGCATTAATTGGCAGAATTTATACTCTTTAAAATGCAATTTTTCAAATGGAGAAAATAAAAATATGCTCAACATTTTTCCCATTATATAAGCAAAAAAAAAAATATTAAAAGAAAACAGCTGTGCTAGCAGCATTCCTTGAGCAACTATATTATTCAGCTGGATAACACATTTGAACTCTCCTCCAACATCCCAGCTAAAAGGTAGTGCTTAGGAGTTAACCAGTTGCTTTCCATCATGTCTGCAAGTTTGTAACTTCCAGTTCCCACACACATCCATGTTAAAAACTATATTGCAGACATTACAATTCTATACATTTAGAATAAAGGTACACTTGCTTAATTTAAAAAAACAGTTGCATGTCACTCTATTTTCTACAGTCTGTCTTTGCAAGTGCCAATTCCAGAACAGTTAGGAACACTGATCACAGGACTGTGGAAAGAGGATAGATGGGATCAGTGCAATTTAAGGAAGAGCAGCTGCAAAACAAAAGGCAGCTTTGGGAGGCAAACATATTTGCTCTGCATGTAATTGATAGAAATACAGAAAATTTACAGATAGAAACATCTATTTGTAAGGGTAAAAACCTCTAGGACAAGAATGTTTTTATTGAATCATGTCAGAAACAGTGTAGCCTTCTGAGAAGGTTTATAAAAGGCTGGAAGAGAACACATCACTCCAAGGATCTAGTCTGATGTGCACGTAAAGCTGGCTTTTCTGTAATGAAAATGCCATTGATGTTTGCTGTGTAAACAAGGCTTTCCCAAGGGCTCCTTCCTCCCAGGAGTCAGACCAGCTCCTTGATCTGCCATGTCACACAGCCATGCAAACAGACACAGGCAAAGGAAATATAAATAAGAAAGCAAAAATGTCAGAGGGCTACAAAAGCCATAAAGCCCATCCAGCTCAAGCGAGCATAAACTACTCATGTACAACAACCCTGGTTTACCTGTGAACTAACTAGATTTTGTATCTAATTTAAATTAATTTTGTGGGCATGGGGGTACAGGGTGAGGGTTGCAACTCTGTGCAATTATTGCTTAAATCAAGGTATTACAAACAGGCACAGAACAGTGATTTTCTGCTTTGCTGCTGGATCTGCCCACCTGCCTGCAAACGTGTTAGTTCAAACAGACTGTGAGCTGTCAGCATTTTTACCCTGCTGAAAGAGCAGGGAAATGAGATTAAGCCTTTAGACACTTAGAGTACAAGTACACGTTATCAAGCCAAATAGGTCAAGATATGACTCAGCTTGAAGAAAAAAGATCATTAAGTAAAATCTACACGTTCAGACATTAGTCATCTGCAGTCCTTGCTGAACAAAGGAATTTAAGACAGCCATTCTTCTTCTGACTTACCCATAAACTATTTCTGGTCTAGGTTGGAAGGCACTGCCTCCTCTGCAGCCAATTAGTAAACAGTTTCTCAAAACTGTAACATTATATTCTTGGCAAAGAAAACTATTTAGCAAAGCTTTGGAAAAATTACAAACCAGCAGCTCTCTTAATGTTCCACAATGGCAACCATTCAGAACTTTTAAAATCAAAGTATTTTTGTAGCATAGCTTTTTAATAGAAGCAAAAGCAATGGTGTATATTTATAAAACAACTTTTCCCCATTTGCTATGAACTGTGCCATCCTGCTTAGCATTAAAACTCCTATTCATTAAAATATGAAAAATTAGAAAATCTCACAATTAGAAATGTGCATCCAGACCTATTTTGATTTTCTGTATAAAAAACCACTTTATAATTATACAATTCATATTCTGTTTTCCTCTCACCGCTTTCTTTCAGTGCAACGAAACTTGAATAATGACCTATACAATTCATTTCATCTTAGTTTCTCAACATGTATATCCTATTTACTGCATCTCATTCAAATCCCTTTATATATATATAATTATTCCTACCTAAGATTTTCTTTGATGGTTGTTGTTGCTGCATTTGAGTTTTTCAAACTTCACAACAATCTGTAATTAAGTTACTGCATTTTGCAAACAGAATAGAAGCCTAGACACATGAATACTGAAAACACACTGTAACTTTTAATATTCAAATACTGGTCTCCAAGTCCTAGCTTTTCAGGGACACTGAATTTTGCAATTCATCTGAAGTACAGCTGCTGTCTAATTAACACTGGGAGTGTTAGTAGGATCACAAGCTCATTAGCGAAAGAAGTCAAAAAAATAATGATCTTAAAAATAAGAATACATTATTTGTAGAGTATTTTTTGACAGATTAAAAACTAAAAGTGGATGGCAGCTAAACTTCTGTAGTAATAATGTGAGTGGGGTGCTGGGCAAAGTGGGAGACAAAAACTACAGAGAAGGAACCAAGGGCGCTGGGAAGCAGCTGAACAGACTCTGGGACAGGCTCAGCTCTACTGAAGGGTGGGTCCCACAGTTTCTTCCTGTGCTCATTGTCCACACATTTTGAAAACTCCACAAAAAAGGACAAATGTATGGAACAATGCAATTAAAGAAGCCCACCCAAAGCTGGCTGACAGTTAAATCATGAAGAGGATGCTATAATTACAAAACAATTTTCCATTTTGCACCATTATTACTGACTGAACCAAGATTGTTATAATAGGACTGTATTTCTACTCTTTAATAGGGGCCTTTCACTTAATACCCAGCTCAGAGGGCTGAATAAATTAGTAGGCATTGCAATCAAGTTATTTAATGTCATCCTTTTTTTCTGTCAAAGAATATTAAATGAAATTCAAAACACACACCAATTCATCAAGAGAAGACCCTACAATCCCTATAAGGAAAACAATATGCCAAATGTTTAATCAACAATATTAAATATAAAATTATACTAAAAACATTTTTTAACATGGAAACTTCTATTGATACTTCTTTCAAGCCAGAAATTATATGATTTGTCATTACCGGTAAACAACAAAACCTCCACAAACAACTAACTTTGTTATATAAGTACAGAACACTCCAAGAAGATTCATCACTATCATTAAGTCACACAGTTGGCACAACTGCACCATAACAAGTAAAAGACATCCAACTGTATGAGTAAGCCTGGTTGATCATAAACCTGAGATAAGCCTTAGCAATCAAGAGAAAATTTTCATTGTGCCTCAAACTCATAAGCTGCTGTCATGAATTCTAATCCCACACCAAAACATAGCCAGAAGTGTTACTAATATAAGTAAAATTGTGAAAGCATACTGGGTCAAATCTGTTATGTGTTAGATCATCCTCTTCCTTTATCTCCCTGAGAGGTATGACATAAGAAACTTGATAAGTAAACTACAAAGGACTTGAGCTGCTTTAAGAGGTTTCTAGAAATATAAAGTAAGTACTGTCAACAAGCATCAAAAGATTATTTAAAGCTAAGGAAACTGCAAGATGCATTGGGTGATGGAAGAAAGGAGGGGCACTGGGAAAAAACCTCCCTGAAACCTGGCTTGCAAGTTCATCAGCAAAAGTATCAACCATTCTTCTATAGAAGAAAAGAAAGAAGAGAAAGGGAACACATCTTTTGACTTCAATAATCCTGCAGAGCTATTACAGAGAGACCTCAACTATTACACTTCTTTAATTTTGGATCTTTATTTGCCAGTTACTTAAATAACCTTTGTGGCTTCCTGTGTGTCAGTGAGAGTGGTTCAGGTCCCAGCTGGACACCCTGTTCCTTGCTCTGTTCATTTGTTCCAGGGCAGCAGCAGCACAGCACTGCACACTGGGCTGCAAAGAGCAAAAGGAGATCCAGCCATGTCTCCATGCCAGGAAAAGGAGGCAGACCAGGCAGGCTCATTCCATCCATCCAACCCAGATGTGGTTGCTCCCAGGTGAAAACACCAGCACACCTCAGTGTGTCTGGTTGTTTGTTGGAAGCCATTTGCTCCTACATATACTGCCTTGTTTTGCTATTATAAGAGAAAACCTCTACCTTTGAACTTGTTCTGGGAGCAAGAATCAACTTGTGAAAATTCAGCTCAAGCAGTACTTCAACACAAAGCAAAGGCCAAAACAGCCAGAAGAATTCAGCTGCACTGACCTGACATGGATCACTGATATAAAAAAGTTCTCATGGTGGATATTTCAGTAGTTATTTTTTCAGAATTAGTAAATAACTCTTATCAAATCCTATTAGTCACTGACATCATTCAAGCATAACACCAAACGAATAACATTTGTCAGAACACAACTTCCACTCTGCTCCTTTTGTAGAACAGCCAAGTCCTGCACAGCACATTGCTCTCCATCTCATCCTGCAGTGTGAAAGTACAGCAGGAATGACACACAAGATCCTGTCACCCTGCCCAGTGCTCTGTAGCTACCCAGATTCCCTCCAGCTACCCATGCAACCTCTAGTCTAAGCTGCATTAAAGACAAGCCCTGAAATTCTACCCTTTTTAAAGCTTTATTGTAAAAAAATATACAAATAATCATAATGTTCTACCGGTTATTACCTTCAAAAGCGATGTCGATGTCCCGGTTTTGGAGAGTTTTGTTACTGCAGACACTGAGGAGCCGTTTTCTGGTTTGGCTTTTTCACTTGTTTGAGCTTTATTTACTCCAGGCACTTTGGGCACTGAGCCAACACTCCTGCTTGCTTTCTTCATTCTGGGCTGTCTGTTTATGATGCATTTACAAACAAATCTACAAGCAGAAAGAAAGAGACTTTAAATATAAAATACAGATGAAAAGCAATATCTTTTTTTATAATGTTCTATTTAAAACCAGAAATCCAGAAAAGCAGCAAAGACCACAAATTAGAGCCAAACAAAATGCATGTGACTGACCAATGGTTTTTGCCTTTTTTTTAAGAGGGATTTTTGCTAAGGACTAAGCACTTCCTACAGCTCCACTCCAAATTATAATCATTTTTTTCTAGTTCTCATTCCACAAATGGCACTGAACCAAGGATATTTTATAAGTGACCCATGTCACTGCGTTCACTCGTTAGCCAGCAAAAGAAAGGCTTATTAGGGAGCAATGTCCTTTATTTCTGACTGTGGGAAGGAAAACACTGTGGGAGTATTCAGGCAGCAGCCTAACTACCAACAACACTGGCTCTGAGAAAAGATTACCACCAGCTTGGGAACTACGGTGCTGAGAGCAAAAACAGCAGTCACAGAGAAAAACTTACTCTACAAAAAATCCAAAGAAGTTGAAAATTTCAGATTCCCTCAAATCAACTATTAAAACTCACAATAATAAACACATGGAATTTTACAAAATTTAATATGAGTTGTGTGATTACAATGATTATCTGCAAGAAGAAAGCAGAAGCAGCTCGTTGGGTTCCACAGTCAGGACACTCCTGCAGCTTGGCCCGACCTGCTGTCTCTGACAGCAGACAACTGCCAGCACTGCCATTCCACCCACAAGCACAGATGAAAGTCCAGAAAACAAAGCTGACTTTATCCAAAGCAGGAGCAGCCACAGCAGACCCAAAAACTGTAGATATTGCATCAAAACCAGCTAATTCCAAGGAAGCACAGACTAACAGGAGAACAGCCACAGAACAGCTGTAACATGAAGCCTTTTCTGGGCTACCAGAAAGACTAGACACACCAGGATCTTCTCCTTGTGAAGAGGGAGAGTTGGCAGCTGTTTTCTGCATCACCCCTGAGTCAGATGCCATGGGATGGAAGAGGACAACATCTCCACCCACTTTCAGTCTTACAGATTCCAGGTGGAAGTAAGTGATCAGGTTTATCTGAGGTCAGTATCTCACAGCTGACTGGAAATATGAAACACGTCTGGTCATTTCCATCTCTTAAAAATGGAAGCATCTCAAAGACACAAAAAGCAGACTGTTGACTGTGTGTATGAACTATTTGACACAAAACAGTGGTCAGAAGTACTAAATAATTTCAGCTAATAAAATTAACACCATTACCTTACATGCACTCCTTCTGAGCACCACCTCAGCTGCACACAAGTATATTTCAATTCTGACTTTTATCAAAGTCAGTAAAACTGCAGGAGTTTTGCCTTCTCAGATCCCTAAGTACTGTTAACAGAAGCAACAGGAAGCTTCATCTTAAGACACTGAAAATATTTGTTTGTAGTTTCCAGATTCCCTTTAGCTCTGAAAGCTGCCATGAACAGACTGTTGCAGTTTCATCATCACAATGTCAAAAATGCACCAGTCCTGCCATACAGCTACAAGTAATGAGAACGCCTTCTCAGAAGATTAAATAACTGAGAGATAATTTGAAATGAGAGACTCCTTACAAAACCAAAGCCCAAACCAGAAAAGCCCCATGAAGGTTATATGTTTGCTATACACACATAATATTAAGTGGTACAACTGCCTATTAGATTTGAGAAGCAGATGGTAACAGTGGTTACCATCTAAGTTGCCACACTTCTATTTCTTGCCTTTTTCATGTTTATGAGTCAAACACTTTATGAGACAACCTTACTTGTGTTTTTGATCTTATTCAACTGAAAACTAAAACTGAAAATACTGAAGAGGATAAAGTTCTTTAGTAAAACTTGCATCTTTATTATTGAATGGTATTTTTGATGTTCTACAGACAGAAACTGCCCATAGCACACTTAAGGAATAACCAAATGAATTTTCAGAGCGCAGTTTGTAGAGAGGCTGACTGAATTAAAATTATCCCAAAGAAAAACTACACAGCAGCAATAAATCCTGTCAGTCAGAACCATCCCTTTTTGACAGCTCAGAGTGAGAAGGGCAGTGCTCCGAGGAGGGTTAGGGCCCTGGCAGTGACTGTGAAACATTTGGGCAAAGCCTGACAGCCTTGCCTGGCTTTATGTAGATAAAGCAGTGGCTCCGGCTGGCATGGAGACACCCAGCCCTGGCTACTTGCAAGGCACATTTTTCATGTCTGCAGAGCACATTCATCAGCCCTGACACACCTTGCAAAGCCAGACACAGCACACATGAGTTTTGCATGCACAGTAAACACAGTTGGATCTGTTTATTACAGCAAGTAAGACAAAAACATAACCTACTGGATGGACAGCCTCAGAAAAAAGCAGGCTAACATCACCTTTTACAGAACAAATCATTTATATTGGTATCAATATAGCTCTGGGAGTCAGCAGTGACAAAACTCTGTGAACTCAAATGCTTCTCACCTATGAGAAGTGTTCCTGAAAACATGCCGTAGTGTTCACTTCAAGAATAGCAACTGCAAAGCACAACTGATGGAAGCAAGCAAAACTCAACCATGTCAGCCAAGTATAATCCTCATGTTTCATCAGGCATTACTTTAAAATAATAATTTTGACACTCAAGACCACTATTTTTGATTCACTGAAACTCAAAGGTAGAACCACATTACCAAAAACTTCAAAGATATGTAGAGGACAAGTGGCTTAGGGACCACTGTTCCTATTTTAATTCCAGAGAAACTAAGCCTTAGTAGTTACTTTCCTAATGAAAGAAGTTTATGTCATTATAGTTTAAAAATTGAGAAAAATATACAAATGGGTTACACAAAATAAGAACAAACATCAATTAGCATTACAGGTTCTAAAAGCAGCCGCTCACTGAGACTCCTAAAGTGAATTTATGGCCTCTCTGTGCCAGTTTCTCCCCTCCTGCCTTCTCAAAGAAAGAAAAAGAAGATGGGGTTTCAGCACTGAAAACAGAAGACATCAATATTGTGTGACTAGAAGTAGAAAAACCCCTGCTTCACCCAATTTCTCAAAAGGCAGGTATGGCACATAAAAACTACTTTTGTGCTTCTGAAGAACACCACCACATTCCTTAGGAAGAAACAGGATTAAGAATCAACAGTAATCTTGTCTCTGCCCAACAAGAAATTTTAACAATAAATTTAAAAATAAGAAACAAAACACTCTCTAACCAAAGGAAGCTTTCTGAAGAGAAACATACAGCACTAACAATTAAATGAAAACTAAAATATTATTTCACTATTGTTTTAAAAAGAAAATACTGCATATAAAACTGCATTTTATATTTTGCCCTAGGGAGAAAGAAGGAATTACTGAAGACTTCCTTTCCCTTTATACACACTTCCTCCTCCCTCCAAAAAAAAAAAAGGAAGAAAAAGCCACTACTAAAGAAAATACTCAACAGGCAAAAGACACTACTGGAAAACTTTTGATTAATGATAGCACAAACAGTATCATTTAATCAAAATGGCAAAAATCCAAAACAACACCAAAATATCAGATAGAAAGACTGCATTCCTAAACTAAACTGTAACTATTCCCTCTAACCTGTATCCTTTCCCAGCCGTCTCTCTTTCCACAGCACACATAGTCCAGGGAACAGGAGAACCTTGCTCAGGAGTGCTCTCCCTGCTCTGTTGGAGGCATGTGAAACCAGTCCTGCGCTTTACACCAGCTGCAAACACAACTGCATAAATAATAATTTAAAACTGTTTTGCCCAATGGCATGGCCCTGCTCCTGACTGTAAACTGATATGATACATCCAGCCAGACAACGTGCAATGCTTTCAGTGTTGCTCTTCAGAACCCTGAGCACTGAAGCAGAGCAGGGAGGGGATGATTCCTTACTGTGATTATTTTTATCTCATCCATTATTTAATATGCTTGTTTATGTTAATATTGCTGTCACAAAAAGTAAAGCTCACTTACAAGAGTACAGAATATAGTTTCCTATGCCTGGAAGACCATAGAGGGTTAAACAACAAAATTATTTTTTGAGAGGCATTAAGCAGAGCTACCTACTAAAACCCATTAATTATTAAGAAAATTGTAAATAATCTTAGAGTTATCTTTTAAGAGATAAAAAATTAGAAGCAAGTGATCTAAGGATACTGAGCACTTTTGAAAATCCAATACCCTAGTTACAGGTGAAATTGCTCACATCTAAGAGCAATAGAGTCAGTACACTTTCACTCTCTATTTGTGCAAATTCTTTGGTTTTGATATATTTGGGCTGACAACTTTGCCCAAATAATTAGGGAATGACGTTTTCGGGTCACTTACACAGTCCCAAAAGGCAGAAAAGCAAAGAGATTATAAAATACAGCCTGATCAACTCCCTGTAAAGCACAGATCCAGAACTTTCCCAAGTCTCTGCAGACAACACAGCACAAACACCAAAAATCTTCATATCTGGAATATGAAATAAGCTATATAGAGACACAGCTCTCTGCATTTGGAACTTTCAGCCTCTAAGCTGCACAAGCACTCTACAACAATGTCTCTTGCTCAATAATTCCAAAAACATGATATATAAACCACTGGCTTCCAGCAGCCCAGAGGAAATAGTGCATTTCTTTTATTGCTTAAGATCAAGACATCAGTTTAGTGACTTGAAAGTTTGCTGATCCTAGCAGGTAATTTAAGACACCAAGGATGACAGGAGAGTCCATGGAATCACAAAGACCCTGATGAGACTAACTGGACAATAAAAACAGCAAACAAAATTAAATACAGGTAAACACAAACACATCTATCTCTTGGGGGAAAGCAACTGCAGCTTCAAATATAAATGTGCTCTCAATACAGCTCAGCAAGACTACACCACTCTGATTCACAGCTTCATTAAACTATGAGTAGAGTGTTTGGAATAGGAAAGAAAAAAAGCAAAGCAATTCCAGAAGTTAGTAAAGAAAGGAATAGAGAATGATCCATAAACACAAATATCACACTCAACAAATCAAACTTTTGCCTA